TGTACTCAGCAATTTTCAAATATACAACACGGTATCATTAGTTATAGTTACCATGCTGTACGTGACATTCCCATGCCTTATTTATAAGTGGAAATTGCGATCCTTGACCCCCACCATTTGGCCCAGCCCTCGCCCCTGGCAACCACCAGTCTGGTCTCTGTATCTTGGAGCTTGGTATTTTATTTTTTTAGATTTCCACATGTGACCTCATCCAGTATTTGTTGTGCTGATGGTGGTGTAGTGGCTTCTGGGTCCATTCGTGCTGTCACAGAGGGCAGGATTTCTTTTTTATGGCTGAATATGGCTGCATGGTAGTTGCTGCATCCGTGTTTACCACCTCTTCTTCGCCCATCAGCGGACACTTAGGTCCTCTCCATGTCTTGGCTGCTGTGGATAATCCTGCTGTGAGCACGGAGGTGCACATTTCTTTTTCAGATGGTTTCATTTTCTTCAGATAAACATCACAATAAATATCCACAGATCATATGGTATTTTTATATTTTGAGGACCCTCCACACAATTTTCCAAGTGGCTGCTCCAGTGTGCATTCCCGCCAGCAACCCACAAGGTTCCTGTTTCCCCATGTCCTCACCAGCACCTGCTATTCCTGCGTGGTTGAGGTCACCGTTCTGGCAGGTGTGAGGATAACTTGTCATGGTTTTATGGGGCGTTTCCATGGTGGCGAGTGATACCGAGCACCTCTGCGTGTACCTGCTGGCCGCCGGGTGGTCCCTTCTGCGGGACTGCATGTGCAGATCCACTGCCCGCCTTGGGCTGGGGTTTTCGGTCTTGAGTTGAAGGAGTTCTCTGTATGTTAAGGGTATTATTAGTCCCTTACCAGATAGAGGACTTACAGATCTTCCCTCCCATTCCGTAGGCTGCCTTTTCATTTTGTTGGTCTCTTCACTGCGCAGAAGCTTTTTACTCTGACATGGTCCCAGCAGCCGTGCAGAGGTCCCGGGTTCCCCACACCTGACCAGTTTACCTTCCTGAGTGTGTGTGTGTGTGTGTGTGTGTGTGTGTGTGTGTGTGTGTGAACAGCCCTCCTGGTGGTGGGTGTGGAATGAGCTCTCATCGTGGGTTTGATAGTATTTCCCTGATGACCAACCTCTCCGTGTTATACGGGCTCTTTGTAGAGCTTCTTCAGAGAAAACTCTAGTCAATTTTTGAATGAGGTTGTTTGAGGATTTTTTTGTTGTTATAGTTCTTTGTGTGTCCTGGTTGTTATCCTTACTACAAGTGTGATTTGCGAATATTTTCTTGCTTTCTCTGGGTCGTCTCATTCTTTGTCTTGGTAGTGTCCTGCAATGCACAGAAGTCCTAAATTTTGAAGTCCACTCTGTTTTGTTTCTCGCAGTGCCTTTGTGGTCATAGCCAAGAAGTCATTGCCAAAGCCAATGTCCTAAGGATTTTCCCTGTGTTTTTCTCTTAAGAGCTTTTTAGGCTTAGCTTCAAATCTGTTTTGAGGTTTGGTGTTTTTTTTTTTGTTTTTTTTGGTTTTTTTTTTGGTATATTGTGTAAGGTGGGGCTCCCGTGTCATTCTTGTGTGTGTGGACATCATTTCCCTGCACCATTTGTTGAGAAGATGGTCCTTTCCTTTCCCAGCTGAACAGTCTTGACGCCCATGTCAGACCTTATGAATGTATGTCCAGCACTATTTGTGGGTGCTCCGCTCGGTCACCCCACCTGTCCGTGTGTATGCCAGCACCACAGTTTTACTCTGTGGCTTTGAAGCACGTTTTGAAATCAGCGGTTGAGTTTTTCAACTTTGTTCTCTTACAAGATTGTTTTGGCTATTTGGGTTGAGTTCCTTTTTTTTTTTTTTTAAGACTTTATTTATTCATGAGAGACAGGCAGAGACACAGGCAGAGGGAGAAACAGGCCCCCTGCAGGGAGCCCAATGTGGGACTTGAATCTGGGACCCTGGGGTCACGACCTGAGCTGAAGGCAGATGCCCACCCACTGAGCCACCCAGGCATCCCTGAGTTTCCATTTTAATTTTAGGATGGTTTTTTCCTATTTCTGCAAAAAAAAAAAAAATTGAAGTTATTGGCATTTTGATATAGATTGAATTAAGTCTTTTAGGGTAGTGTTCACATCTTAAGTTTTCCTATCCATGAACACGGGGCATCTCTCCATTTACTTCATTTACATCTTTAATTTGTCAGCTACGTTTTGTAGTTTATACACGTATTTTGCATCCTTGGCTTATTTCCAAGTGTTTTTTTTCTATCGTAAATGGAATTGTTTTCTTTGATTTCCTTTCTGGATTGCTGCTAGCGTAGAGAAACACACTGGTGTTTGCCAACCTCGTGTCCTGCAGCTTTGCTGGCACACTTCTGTGGATCAGGTTTTCTGCACACACGACCGCGGCTGTAGTGTTATTTCTTCCTTTCCAGCGTGGAGGCTGCTGTTGCTCGTCCTGCTGTGTGCGCCCCGGCTGGAAGAGGCTCGCGGAGTGGGCCGGGGCCTGTCCTGGGCCGGCTGACCTCCTGGTTTGTAGAGTGTTGGCATGAAAGGGGTTGAAATCCGGCAGGTGCTGCTGTGTGCCTCTACTGCGTGGTCACGGACTCTTCCGTTCCTTCTTCTGGATTACATTCGTTGTGGGATCTCAAACATCCGTGTATTTTGGGAATGACCCCCACTTGGTGAGGGCGTGGGATCCTTGTAATGTGCCATCGGAGCCCATTTGCTGGTGTTTCGTTGCAGATTTCCTGCATGAACGTTCATAATGGACCTTTTAGACTTTGGTCGTGCGCTGAGGCTGGCCTCACGGAGTGAAGGGGCAGCTTCCAGGAGTGCCTGCGGAGGGACACCGTGTTCCTGGGGGCTTGTACACGTCACATAGGTCATCAGGGTGTACGTTTCCCATGGTGCTCTGTTCTCTCAATTCTGCGGAACTCACAGCATCCCCACTTTCGTAGCTGATTATAGGAATTTGTGTGTGTGTGTGTGTGTGTGTGAATCTAGCTAAAGACTTGTCGATTTTGTTGATCTTTTTAAAGAACCAGTGTTGGGTTTACTGACTTATTTTTGTCACTGCTCCAGTCTTTATTATTTTCTTCTTTCTGCTAGCTTGGGGTTTAGTTCGATCTTTGTCTAGTTCCTTAGAGTGTAAAGACGTGAGGTCTCCCTTGTTGCCTGTACCAGAGCCCCCTTTAGTATTGCTGTCACCGTGTCCCAGAGTAGTTTCTGATTTCCCTTGCGATTTCCTATTTGACCTAGTGGTTAAGAGGTAATTCCTGTAAGTCTGTGAACCTCCCCCACCTGCTGCTGCTGTGATTTCGGCCTTCCACCGCGATCGGGAAGGAAGGTGTGCGGGCGTACCTCGTGTCGGGCCCTTGGGTCTCCTGGCAGCTTCCAGCCTAGGGGCTACCCTGTGTGGGGCCCCCTGCGCAGGCCGTGTGTCGCCTGCACGTGCCTCGCCTGCACGTGCCTCCGGATGCAGGGTGCCGTTGGTGTACCCTAGGGGACGGGCTCACGGGAACCAAGGAGGCACAGCCTTGTGGCTTCTCTGTCCCTTGCATCTTGCATGGCTGTTGATGCTTCTTCCAGGCGACAGGTTGGATTTCATGCTCATCACCCCTGTGTATATTCTGGGTCTGTTTTCTCTGGTAACCACTGGGGCAGAGGGCACGGGAGGTTATTCAATTCTAATTTGAATTTTTATCAGTTTTCATCACGTACAAAACTGCAGCTCCACCCCTCCCCCCCGCTGTTACCGGGTTCGCACGCGACCTCCTTGGACGCTGCACCCAGTGGCAGAGGCCTAGGGTGATGCTTTATGCGTCCGTCTTTCGAGTTCTGTGCATTTTCAAGTCAAACGTAGACCCTCTGTGGCCTTGCAGTCTGGCCGCGTCCTCACTGGGGAGGAGACGGTCCTCGTTCCTTCCATCTGGATGAGGAAGGCCTCGGTGGCCCACGGGGAGGGTGCACGGTGGGCACCAATCCGGCCGGCGGGGCGGGGTCCTTCGAGCTGCCGCCGGGGCTGGGGAGGCTCAGGACGAGCTGCTCGGTTTGGTCAGTCCCCGGCTCTATCCAGGAGGGAGGCCTCTGTCCTGGGCTCGCCCCGCCGCAGCTCACTGGGTTTCCGTGGGCTGAGGGGCTGGAGCCTTCCTGCTAATCCTGCCTTGGGGGGTAGTTTTCGGCTCCAGCATTTCTTTTGTGGTTTCTTCCTGTAATTTCTTTTTTTAAAAAAAAAAATATTTATTCACGAGAGACATAGAGGGAAGCAGAGATACAGGCAGAGGGAGAAGCAGGCTCCATGCAGGGTGCCCGATGTGGGTGGGACCCGATTCCAGGATTCGGGGATCATGCTCTGAGCCAAAGGCAGACGCTCAACCACTGAGCCACCCGGGTGTCCCTCTTCCTGTAATTTCTCTGTCCGTGTTCCTTTAGTTCTTCGTTAAGTCTGGCGTCCGGGCTTCTCCCGGGAGGGTTGTCACCCTGCCCCGGGCTGGGCCATGTTCTGCTGTTGCTCCGTCCACCTCATGAGGACTTGCGGGGATCCGGGCTCCTGATGGCGGGGCTCCTCGTCAGCTATGTGCGTGGGGCCGCCTGCGGGCCTCGGCGCTGTCGTATGTGCCCCACCATAAGTCCCGCAAGGCTCTCAGTCCCCTGCAGCTTTCCTGAGCCTTGCCCACCTTGCCTGCCTGAGATCCAAGTTAGGCAAGACAGAGCCCAGGGCAGGGGCAGCCCCAGCCGGTCGGAAGGTCGCAGAGCTGGCCCGTCCTCCTGCCGCGCCAGGGGCCGTGGCAGGTACAGACGCCCCGAAACTGGCCTCACCCACTTGAAGGCTGCTTGGGGTTGGCTTGGGTGCTCCAGACTCCCACGAGGTTGTTCGGCTGATTTCTGGTTTCTTTGACGTGTCCTGACGTCACTCGGCTCCTGCATCCTCACCTCTCAAGTTTAAGGCCACCTCGGTTTCCCAGGAGGGGCGTCGCCGGGAGGCCTGTGCACCTGCAGCACACGCTCGACTCCAGCCCTGTGCTCTCTTCCAGGGCCTGCGCACCTCTTCAGGCTTTCTGGCAAGTGCTTCAGCCTGGTGGAGTCCACGTGAGTGCAGGGGGCCAGGGGCGGGGGTGGGGGGCGGGCGCCGGGCCCCCTGACGCACCTGTGCCCCCAGGTACAAGTACGAGTTCTGTCCCTTCCACAACGTGACGCAGCACGAGCAGACCTTCCGCTGGAACGCCTACAGCGGGATCCTGGGGTGAGTGGGGCGGGCAGGGGGTGCTGGGCCCAGCCGCCCACCCCCCCCTTCACGTGCTGTCCCCCGCAGCATCTGGCACGAGTGGGAGCTGTCCAACTACACCTTCAAGGCCATGTGGATGAGGGACGGCGACTCCTGCCGCACCCGGAGCCGCCAGAGCAAGGTGGGTGGGCAGTGAGGGCGCGGGTACCGCCCCCCCCTCCGCCGTCCCCTGAGGCTGTGCCCACCGAGGCTGTGCCTGCAGGTGGAGCTGGCCTGTGGGAGCAGCCACCGCCTGGCCCGCGTGTCTGAGCCGAGCACCTGTGTGTACGCGCTGACCTTCGAGACGCCTCTGGTCTGCCACCCACACTCCCTGTTAGGTAGGAAGTCCCCGGGCGGGGGCAGGTGGAGCGACAGAGCAGCTCAGCTGAGGCTGCGTCTGTTGGGTTGCAGTGTACCCGGCCCTTCCCCCGGCCCTGCAGCAGAGGTGGGACCAGGTGGAGCAGGACCTGGCCGACGAGCTGATCACGGCCCAGGTGAGGGGCTGGGCGGGCAGCCCCGGGCCCGGGCTCAGCGCGGCCGGGAGCCGGGCGAGCCCTCTTCCCCCACCTCCAGGGCCATGAGAAGCTGCTCAGGGCGCTTTTTGAGGATGCAGGCTACTTAAAGACCCCAGAAGAAAGTGAATCGGTGCAGGAAGGAGGGGCTAAGGCCCCAGTGTTCCAGACCTTGGAGAACTGCAGTGAGGTGCGGGCAAGAAAGGGCGCCCCAGCCCCAGGGTGGCCTCCCCTCAGCCTCCTGGCTGCCCTTGGAACTCTTCTGTTCCAGGCACATAAAGAGCTGTCAAAGGAGATCAGGAGACTGAGGAGTGTGCTGACACAGCACGGCATCCCCTACACGAAGCCTGCAGGTAAGTCATGAGCAGGTGCGGGGCCCCAGCCCACCTGGGACCTACCGCCCTGGGGGCCAGGCCCTGTGCCAACCTGCTGCTTGGTGTTCTGGCAGAAACTTCCAGCCCTGAGCACATGGGCCCCAAGACACCCACAGATGGGACCGCAGAACAGCTCCGAGGTGACGCGTGACTGCGTGGGAACACCTTGTGACCTGAGACAGGGCCAGAGGGCAGCACCAGACTGGAGATGGGGGACCTGGGGCGTGCATCCTCTGCCTTCTGGCCTGTGGGCCCCCAGGCTTAGCTCAAAGAGGCAGACAAATAAAGATTCAAAATTTTAATTAATTCCTGTACTGATAAAAATAATTCCATGAATTCTGTAAAGCATTGCATAAATGCTGTAGTGTAAAAAAAATTTAAATTGTTAACTTGAAACAATTCACTACAAGTAAATGATTATGCGTTAAAAATAACTATCTTCCAAGTTAAGAGAGTTCCATTCCAGTAACATTCTCATCTAAACACTCTGAACAAACATAGATAAATTAATCCACGTGATGGGTCCACAGTGAGCCGAGGTCTCCTTTGTGGCCCCAGTCAAAAACAGCGGGGCTAGGGCACCAGAGCCGAGAGGCAGCGGGATGGCAGCCAGAGGGAGCACCGCGCCTGGCGCTGCTGTCGCCCACCCGCAGGACCCCGAGGCCTGCAGGGTGGGGAAGGCTCCCCCAAGACACGGGGCAGGAAGGACCCAGACGAGCAGCCCCCTGGGCACCCCTGGAGTTCCACTTGGGCAATTCTGGGGGCGGGGGTCCTGGTGGCACACCCAGCCTCAGGGCACACGCAGGGGAGGGGGATCCCCCAAGATGCCGCAGTTCCAGTCTCCTGCTGCACGGCAAGAACCGACCAGAGTAGCTTATACATAGACCTCAAGCTTAATTATCCTTAGTTTATAATTTGAAAATATCTAGGCTAGGTACTGATAATAAACATTGTCCTGTTTCCCAAAAAAGACCAAAGGCCTGAAATGGGAAACAAGTGCATAAATATTAATAAAAATAAAGAATTTTAAACGGTGATAACAGTAGCACAAAATATACGTCATTTCTAAGTGCTAATAAATCATCATCACTATCATTAAAAACAAAGTAGATTCACTAAAAACAAGTCAATAATCCCCCGTAGTCGTGGACTAGCTGCAGAACGTCATGGGTCCGCCTTTAAAACGACAGAGCTATCAGTTTGTTTTACATTAAAAAAGGTTTTTAAACCTCTTACTATAGTATTTGGTTACTGATAAAAATTTTTACCGAGCCCCTTTGCACTTTACAAAATGCTATTAAAAGTCTTTGGCAAAGCCACGGGTGGCCGAAATGTGCCCGCGCTCGCGTCCAGGCCAGAGGGACACCTGTCTTCGCCCCTGCGATGGACTCGGGGCGCCCTCCTGGAAGCCACTGGCGGGAGCCTTGTGGAGAGCAAAGTCTGCATAAACTACAGACACCCTTCGCTTCCCCCCAGATTTCTAGGAAAAACCACCCGGTGTGGACCAGAGAGGATTCAAGTCATCACCAAAACCAGACCCGTTCTCAGGAGCGTCTGTGCCACCGCCGGGTGGCCAGGCTCCGTCGGCAGCGGGGGGTGGGGGGGTCGCCTGAGGGGTCCTAGGGCGCAGCCTGGGAGCCTCTCCCTTGGAGGCTGGCATCCGGCTGCGAGCCTGGCCATGGGCGAGTCTCTGGCCTCAGGTCCTCCGGGTGGGCTCCCAACGCTGCAGAGACTCAGGCACGGCTCTGAAATAATAGGATCACTGGCGCCATGGAGCCCCTGGGCCCCGCTTCCCACTGGGGGAGCGAACCAGGCTGAAGGTGGCCCCCCCACCCCCGGCGAGGCTCAGGCACTTAGAAAAGTGGCCACAGGTCACGGAGTGTGACGGGGCTTGACGCCATTTCCTGGTCCTGGAATCTAGAACTCCAGTGATGTGCACATGCACGCAATTGGGAGAGTCCCCTTCACAAAATTAAAAACCTCTAAATGTGTCTTTCAGTATCACTGCTATAAATACTATTTGTTTGCACTTAATTTGAAAACTGTAAAAAAAATCCTAGGCATTTCTCACTACTTAGATAAATGCTCATTTCGTAAGTATTAACTTCAGGATAGAAAATCTAAGTCTTTACCATACCATGAACGAACAGTAAGCGGAGAGAAAACAGAGGTTCACAGTACACATAAAGCTTCATGTCGCATATTAAAAACCACGGACCTAGAAAGCAGCTTAGAGCAACTTACAAAGTCCCAGTCCCCCTGTGTACAAAGTGCTTGGTGGGGTCACAGTCCGTCAGGCCCGCGGGCCCCGCGGGGTAGGGCAGGGGCGCCGGGCGGCGGTCACCACGGGAGGGGCTGGCCCTTGCAGTAGGCACAGGGGGGCGCGCCCGCGCCGCAGGTCTCACAGAGCACCCGGTGCTGGCAGGGCTGCAGGACGCCGCCGTGGGCACGCTCCCGGCACACGGCGCAGTGCTTGGCGCGCAGTTGGAAGATCACCTGCGGGGAGACACAGGGCAGGTGGGGCAGGGCCCGGGAAAGCCCACGGGCACTCTGCGTCCCAGGGGTTCTGTGGCCGCGGGCGGGGCTGCCAAGCCCGGGAGGGGAGGGGAGGGCAGGGCGGCCAGGCAGCAGGGGCTTCTGCCCCGCCCCACAGGCTGCAGCCCGACAGCAACCCATGACCACGGTCTGCGGCTCAGAGGCCAGGCCCCTGCAGGAGAGTGTGGGGGGCCGACGAGCCTTCCAGACGCCCCCAGGTTCTAACGACAGGCCCCGCGTGAGGGGGCTGCAGCAGGCAGAGCACCCACCAGGGACCCCGGGGCGGCCTCCCTGCGGGGACGGGGGCAGCTGGCAGGGTGCCCGGTGGGCAGGGGGGGGCCAGGCAGCACCCGCACTCACCCCATCCACAGCCTCCAGATCCAGGCGCAGCTGACTTTGCAGGGAGTGCAGCTTCGGGAGGGGCACGGCGCCCAGGTCCGCACAGCGCCGCAGCCCCGCCAGCGTGGCGCACAGCCCACGGCCCTCCAGCTCCTCCTGCAGCCGCTGGAACTGCGCCTCCACCTCCTCCTTCTTCTGCAGCGCCAGCCGCCGCGCACTGTCCGCCGCCAGGGCCCGCTCCTTCGCCTCCTTGGCCTCCCGCTGCCACGCGTCACACGCCTGAAACCCGGGGGGGCTGCAGCAGGCGGGCAAGGGGGGCCTCCCCCTGCGGGCGCACCGGTGTCCCCCCCCCAGCCGCGCTCACCTGCTTCACCTGCTGCCAGGACTCCTCCCACTGCCGGATCTTCCTCTTGGCCTCGTCCAGCTGCCGCCTGACCCGGGCCAGCTCCGCACCACTGGGGCTCGCGCCTGACGAAGGGGCAGGGCCGGGGTTCAGGATCGGGGATGGGCTGGGAGAGAAGCTGCCGGAGACAAAGTCCCAGATGCTCCCAGGTACGCCGTTCAGCCCTGGGGTGGGGGGGTGGGGGCGGTCACCACGGTGCTGACGCCTGTCCCATCCTTCCCTGATCCTTCCCCCCATCCTTCCCTCATCTTTCCCCCGATCCTTCCATGCTTCCCCCCATACTTCCCCCATCTTTCTCTGATCCTTCCCCCGTCTTTCCCTGATCCTTCCGCTCGGATTAAAGGGGAAACGAGGTCAGAGCTGTCACCGCACCCCAGGCAACGGGCGGACCCACCCCGCCCGAAGCCCTCTGGCCGCAGAGTCTGCAGGCCCGGGAGAGCCAAGAGCTGGCCAGAGGCGCAGGGGGCAAAACGATACTTAAGATACTCTTTTAAAGCCCAAGTAGCTACTGAAGATAACATTTCCCGATGGAAAAATAAAGGCAGAGCTAGCGCTGTCACCATCCTGTCCATCGCCGTGCCGCGTGTCAGAGGACATGGCAGGTCCCCAGCCCAGGCACCAGGCCCGGGCACCCCCATCCCACCCACGCCCGCTCACCCAGGGAGTAGGACGCGGCCGACGAGCCCAGCGCTCCGGGCTCGGACTTGAGGGTGGGCGGCTGCTGGGGGGGCGTCATGGTGGAGGACACGAGCGGCCCCGATAGGGACTGCGACAGCGAGCTGAGCGGGGAGGTGGACAGTGATGAGGACGAGTGCAAGGACGGGGAGCGGGGCAGGCCGCCCGGGATGGTGACGGGCTCCGAGCCCCCCAGCGACCTCGGACCTGCGGAGGGGAGGACGCTGAGTGGGCGGGGACGGGGCCAGGCCACCAAGGACTCCGACCAGAGCCCTGTCCCCTGGACACCAGAAGGGATGGTCACGCCCCCTCCCATCAGAAGAGATGACCATGCCCCCTGGACATCAGAAGAGATGAACTTGGGGAAGAAAACATTCCAGGGTTGCACGTGGGCCCAGGTGGAGCTTGGAGTGGCTCCTCAGCCAGGGCCGTGGTGGTTGTGCCCAGGTGTCTGCAGAGACTGGTGCTGAGACGGAGGTTCACGCAGGGATGGGGGGTGGCAGCAGCCACGGGAACCCACCCCCGGTGCTCCGCAGGGCTCTCCCGGGGCTCCGCACCCCTACCTGTCGGGCCCGGGTCGCCGCTGTCATGCTCATCCAGCTCTTTGTCTAGGGCTGTGAGGCTGCCGTCCCGGAGATGAAGCTCTAGTGCAAAACCTGGTGAAACAGCCATGAGAGAGAGGAGGGCCACACCAGGGCCCGGTCCCGGGGGGGAAATAAGCTGCCCCCTCAACCACGGCCTGCGGCACCCTGAGTGTCTGGGACCCTGGTCCATGCCAGGCCGGTCCGTCAGGGGAGCAGAGGCATGAACAGCGTCGGCTCCCCAGCTCCCCAGGATTCCTCCCAAGCCCCTCCTTCACCCTGACCCCACCCTACGCTGCCCCCCGGCCCCCCAAGCTTTCCTATTCCAGCAGCTGCATAGCAGTTCACTCAGGGAAGGAGGCCAGAGAACAGGGCCCAGCGTGGGGCGCGGTCTTCCCGCCCAGGGTCTGCAGAGGCCCAGGCGGCGCTGGAGGCAGGGCAAGGAGCTCAGCCCCACGCTGCCATCCCCCATGCGTGCCTCCCTGAGGCAGGTGGGCCTTCCCTGAGTGGCCGAGCCTTATCCCCAGCATGCCAGCCAGGCGCATCAGGCTCCATCTCCAGAGGTCACAAAGCAGCCCCCGTCCCCAGGACCGGGTGCACCGTGGGGCTCTGTGCGGGCCGCTTGTCCCGTGAGTGAGACGGGCTTCCGCAGCCTCGTGTCTCTGCCCTGCCCCCAGCTGCCTAGTGCAGCGTCTGTAGGGTGACACGGAGTCAGAAAGACCCTTGCAGGACCTTTGCTCATCTCTGGCCACACCCTGCCCTGGGGCCCCTGGGTGTGTCAGACCAGCAGCTGAGCAGGCCGATCGGGGCGCTTCAAACCCCCACTTTAGGAGCGAAGGCCCACCTGCGGTGCTGCAGGGAATGGGCTGTCCTCTGAAATGAGAGGCCTTTAGCATAATTGCCGGGGAGACACGGTCAGGTGTGGGGGCGAAGAGACGTCCCCGGGGCGGGCCGACCGAGCGCATGGAGCGGGTGGGTGTAGATCAGACCTGCCCTCTGGCCCCACGGGGGGCCTGGCCGCACCATCCCTCCCTGTCCCCAGGGCTGCTGGGCGCCGCTCAGCCCGTGAAGCCCAGCCCGTGAAGCCCACCAAGCCCACACACGCTGCGCCTCCCCCGGGTGGTGGCCGAATGCTAAGTTCCAGCACGTGGGCCCACATTTGCGTCCGGGGCCCCTGGCTCGGGCCTCTGCGGCATGTGAAGGGACAAGTGGGCACGCGGGGTCGGGGACACCAGGGAGCTGTGCCCGCTCAGCAGGCGTGGCTGGGAGCAGGGAATCGGATTCGGCCACAGGAGAACTTGGGGAACCACCAAGGCCAGCCCGCCTCCCCGCCCATCGCTCTGGCCTCGGACCTGCCCGCTCCGGGGAAACGCTCCTCCAAGGTTTTAGGGATTCTCGAGGGTCCCATCCAGAAACGAGGTGTACATGTGAGGTGGTGGGCGCCACCCCCCCAACCCCGCCACCCCTGTCATTCTGAAGACCAAGGCAGCCGAGGAGCTGCGAGTGCGAGGCGGGCCCGGTCCTCTGGGGGCAGCAGCACCACCAGCAGCCCCGCGCCCAGGGTGACAGGCCTGCGCAGCCCCTTCCCCTGGGTGGCCCCAGCCCATGCTTCTGGGCCTTCAGCGGGTACCTCCCGCCCAGCCGCGGGCAGCTCGTGCCCAGCACCCGGGGCCAGGCGTCTGCCTCGTGGGGCTGCCGGGCTGCCGGAACCATGCAGCACAGGAGGCGGCCCGGCAAATCCGCTCTCACTGTGCGGACCCGGGGGGGGGGGGGGGGGGGGGGGGGGGCGGGGGGCGGGGGCGGGGCGCCTGCACCCTGCTGCTCTGCTGCCGGCACCCCGCAGCCCCCCGCCTCCGGCCGCCCCTCCGCATCTGTGCCAAGTCACCTTCTCCTTACAGACACACCCCGCTGGGTTAGGGCCCATCCCAATAACCTTGTTTTACCTCCACAGCACCTGCAAAGACTTGTTCCCGATAAAGTCACGTCCCCGCATGGGGCAGTTACGGCGGAGATACACCCTTTGAGACATGGAATCCTGCCCACGAGAAGGGGAGCCGTGGACAGCACACCCCACTCTCCCAGGCGCCCTGTGCTTCACTGGGACCTCAGAACTTTGGGACCCTGGGCCGATAGAAGTTCCCCGGCTCAAGGAAGACACCACCCGTGCCGAGGCCCTGCACCCAAACCCACCCCATGCGGCCCATCCCCCTTCTTGCCATCCTGTCTCCACCTCCCCCAAACTACTGCCAAGCCCTCCAGCCCCGCACTCATGCCCCCTGCCCTCCCTGGGGAGCCTGGCGGCCCCTCCAGGCCCCAACATGCTGGGCTGCAGCAGCCCTAACCCTCACCTGCCATCGGCCCCTAGCACAACAGGGAAAGGCCTGGCATCAGAGGCTTCTCAAAACTCTGGGGAGTCAGAGGCCCGCCCACCCAGCAGAAGGCCAGCGGGAGCCCGAGCCCCCCCCCCCCCCCCGAACCCACAGCGGGGAGGGCCCCAAGCTCCGTGATCTCGGCAGGGTGCCCCTCAGCCCCCAGCAGCGCGATCCCAGGAGTAACCCTTCTACAATGCTGGGCCCCATGCTGGGCCCCCCGCCAGGAGCCCTACCTCCCAGACAGAAGTTGCCCCCCACCCACCCACTCCCTGGTGGCCGCTCCAGCCACCGCCGCCGCCCCCTCCTCCTTTGTCTCCCTGCAGCCTGGCTCTTTGTCCTGTCCCGGGAGACCTTCTGCTCAGCCCCAAACCCCCGGTGTGCTCCAGCCCAGACTCAGGGCACCCGCCTGCATGCACACCCATCTGCTAAAAGCAAGCACTGACCCCCCCCACATGCCCTGCCCCCTCCTTCCCACACTCCGCTGTGGCCAAAGCGGGGCAGCCCAACCCCATTCCTGGGGTGCTGGCCCGCACGCCTTCTCAGCCTGGGGTCCCCAGGTCAGCCAGGCCTCAGGGTGTGGCCTTAACCTTCGGACTCAACCCTCGGCCCCTCAGGACCCAGTTAGAGGCGATGTGCTTGAAACTCGACAAAGTTGTAGAAAGCACTTTATGAATAACAGAAGCACACATGAACTGATAAATCTGGGAAAACACGCTGAAACAGGAGCCTTTTCTCACCTGGAAAAAATTCATCTTGTGCGGGTCCCCCACCCCCACCCCGTGACTCAGCAGAGACGCCCCCTCCCCCAGCCTCAGGAGCAGAGGGGTCGCACAGGGCCGCCCTCCACGACAGCACCGGCGTGCAGGGTGCACTGGCTACTCTGGGAGGTCGACCCTGCCTACTCCACCTCCTTGCTGAGTCAAACCCAGGTTTTCCAGGACATTCTCTCAGAAAAGCCGACTTTTAAAATAAAGGACTTTAACACTCAAAATCTGGAGCCCACTTATGTAAGCTGTGCCATCTGCCCCAGAACCCGCCTCATCCAACTCCCAGGAACCGCCCAGATGTTCGTGAGAAATTAGCGGATAGCTGCTGAGTAACGGCCCTGGCAGTCCCCAGATCCCGACATGACAAAGCACATTCGGCGCCACTCAGTCCTCCAGGGTCAAGGGACACACGGGGACAACGCGCATGGTGCACAGAATCCAAGGCCGGGACGGGGCAGCCCTGCGGCCGGGGTGCCCCCCAGCGGAGGCCCCGGAGGACCGTCCTCCCCAGGCGCAGGGCGCACCAGCACCTGGCAAGCCCACTCACCCACCGGCCTGGTTCCCGACGGCGCAGGCCACCATCCCCGGGCAGGACAAGGCGGGAACCCGTCCTCGCTGCGGAGCCACAGACCCCCCCCGCGCGGCGATGCGGTCCCCTGAGCCCCCGCCTCGAGCCCACGCAGGGAACCGGCGGGCGCCTCTGCAGAGCAGGCTCCACAAAGGGCACGTCTGCATCACATCCCCGCACAGCCTCCGAGGAAGCCGGGTACCGGCCCCCTGCCTGGCACACCTGGCCGGGCCGCGGGCAACCTGAATGGGTGCGAGGAGCACCTGGACACGAGGGCAAGTGCACCTGGGGGGGGGGCGGGGGAAGGGGAGACGCACCTCACCTGGGGAGGCTGGCACCTGGGGACCTGGGGGTACGGCGCACCTGGGGAGGCGCGTCCAGAGGGGGTGGGCTCTCACCTCGCCCGGGGTGCACAGCTGGGTCCGCATGACCGCGACCCACAGCCGGGCGGCGCGGGGCTGCCGATGCTGACTCACCGTCCACCGCGCCGCAGCCGCCGCCGCCGATTCAAACGCAGCCCGCGCCCCGCCCGCCCCGCGCCGCCCCCGCCCCCGGGTGACGTAACCCCTTGACCCGCCCCGCGCCGGCCCCGCCCCCGGTGACGTAACCCTTCGACCCGCCCCCGGGTGACGCAACCCTTCGGCAGGTGCAGGTGCAGGGGTGGGGGCGGGGGGAACCCGCCGGCGGGAGTCCTCCGAGGCCCGCGTGTGGGTTCCCGGGGGGCGCGCACCTGCCCCTCCGGCCTCCTGGCGGCGGCGTGGTCCAGATGCGCACGGAGGCTCAGGGAAAGAAGGGAGCGCCCCGGGCAGGCCGTGGTCAGGATGACAGGACCTCTGCCCTTGAGGGTACTGCGAGCCACCTGCCCACAGCCCCGCCGCCAGGCCCTCCGTCCCCCACAGCCCGTCTGGAAGGAAGGCTCTCCCGCCCTTCACCCCCAGCCGCTCCCGGCCATGAGCTCCGCAGGGGACTATTCTTACCGTCCCTTTTTTAACCTGCAACCTGCTCATGTGAAGTGGAAGGAAAGGAAATCTGCCAAATGGCCCTGAAATGATTGCCCTGGATCCATTAACTACACAATGACTCTGGGAACAGCACCTATTTATTGCAGAGTTTACTCATTCTTCCCACGCAGTGTGTCAGTAAGGAGGTAACCTGAGCCACACTGAAGGAAGGAAGCACCGGTCTACACCGCAGCCCCCAGCCGCAGTGGGTAGGGCGGCTCAGCAGCAGAAAGGCGGCTGGCTGGGGCCATCCCGGGGCACAAGGCAGTCCTGGGGAGTCCTAACGGCCCATATTACTGGGCTATGACTCTACGCGCCATCTCAGAGGGGGTCAGAGAGCAGGGAGGGTCCCACGGATGCCAGCGGCTCATGATCGCGGCAGCGGCAGCAGCAACAAACTGTACTATTTGCCAACAGGCCACGTGGACTCTGAAAAGGGGTTAACCTTGTGACCTCTGGGGGGCTGGTTCAGGGACCATTTAGGTCCATGAGAGCAGGAACTGCAAGATGCTCAGTGACACAGGCAGACAGGCCGAGGACCCCCTGATGGCAGGATGGCCTGCCCTGGAGCCACCGCCCTGGAGCCCCCGCATGTGCCCCGAGGCCCCCTTTCCGAGCAGAGGTGCACTGAGTGCTTCACTCAGGTGAGCAGAGCCCGTGTGGTGTCACCTGTTTACGGGCAGGGATTTCATTTCCTAATGACTCTCCTGTTATGCTCAAATCCTACTATTACTACCTTTAGAATAGGAGAAATAAGTTTTCTTTTTAAAACCTCTGTGTTTTACACATAAGACCCAAAACAGTAAAGTCAAACATGCCCTGCATCGCAATGGCTTTCTGGCTCCCTCCCGAGTGGAAACAGGGCTGCAGCGCGCACCTGCCCTGCACGCCCGCCCACCCCGTGCTCAGCCAGGTGTGTGCGGTCTCCAAAGTCCTTGGGTGTAATGTTCTCTGGGAGCTGCCTCCAGACACACCGTACACACCGTGGTTCCTTCCTAAGTACCCAGCTCCTGAGAGGGCAGAGAACCTGCTCGGTGGCCAGACTGGCTGTGGCCACCTACTGCTGCTTTTCAGATGTAAGCGCACACACTGGCCACGGGCCCTCATGCCTCGGCCCTGGCCTCGGGGTCTCTGCCCGGCTGAGTCCTCACGCCCACCGGTGGTGACCTGAATCCATGCAGAACCACGCGCTCCCCCTAGACCTCGTGGCTCAGAAGGGATACCTCGTTCAAGCCCAGCTCCACGTCAAGGTAAAGTACGCGTGTGTGTTTTCACTTAAACACACACGGATCCTCCCGATGAAGCATCTGACACCTGAACCAGCTCCCCAGTCTCAGGCAGGGCCCAAGTGGGGCCGGCTGCCAGCCTTCTCGCCTCCACGGACGGGATTCCCACAACACACCTGAGCACAGCCACGGAGGCCACAGGTTTGTGCCCGGCAAGGCAAGGACGTCGGGGCTCCCCCCCACACCCCGGGGCAAGCTCCATTCTAGACTCCTTGGGAACACGAAGCAGCTCCACAGCGGAGCCCACGCAGCAGCGCCAGGGCTGTGGGAAGACCCACGCGGCCACAGAAGGTCTCCAATGTTCTAGAAGAACTGACTCAGAGTGAGCACGGGGCAGGAAGGCCAGACCGCGCCGGGAGCAGAGAACGCCGCACATGTGGAAGGGCCCCAGGAGTCGGCAGGACTCGGGAGCAGGATCGCGCCCGCCCGCCAGGCATCCCTCAGGCGGCAGGAGCGACGACACTGGCTCTATGGCCCTCTCAAGGGAAGGGTTTACTGTCTACACAGCCACTGGAAATAGACCCTGTCCCACCCTCGCCGGGGCTGGTGCCACCTCCACCTGCGTCTCAGCATGGGCCTCACGGCAGGCAGCATGACTATGCTTCCCTGGTGGCTGCCCAAGGATGTTTGGCTCTGGGTAGGTACAGGCCACCTCGAATGCGGCCACCTGGCCAGCTCTGGCGGGGGAGTGGTGCCCTGACACGGGTACACAGGGGCAGAGCCCGCACCCACCTCCCCGCCCCAGCAGAGAAGGCAGAACAGAGGGGGTACCCCAGGACCCGAGCGCCGGAACGACGGCTCTGGAGCTGAGCGGGCCTTGCCCAGGAGCGGCTTCCTTGTCCTGCCCACGGCCACACCTTCCCAGCCAACCCCGGACAGAGACCACAAAAGTGGCACCAACAGTGCTCCTGCCGGGCCTCCCTGTACCGGGGCAGGGATGCAGGCCCTCCGCGGGCGCCACCATTCACACGACCACCCAGACATGGCCGAGGGCCTGGGGACCTGCAGGGCACGGCAGGGGCCCCCCCTCCAGCCCCCCGCCCGTCTCCCCTCCCTCTGGCCTGGCTCCATTCCCCTGGTCGCCAGTCCCCCCAAACCCTCGATGACTCCCAGCAGCTAAGGGGCGCTCAGCAGTGGCCCTGCCTGCAACCGGCCTCATCCAGCACCCCTTCCACTCCTGCCTTGGCCCATGGGCTCCTGGCCCCGCTGCGGCCTGCCGCTCCCAGAGAGGTGGGGGGCGGGCTTCCAGACCCCAGGCGGCCCAGTGAGGTGACAGGTGAGCAAACACACCTGGCTTTTCTACAAAGAGCTTTCTGCAGCGCGTCCTGGAAAGACACAACGCGGTGCGGAGAGGAGTCGGGGTGACAGGCAGGGGCTGTTAAACCTACCTGGGGCGGGCTCGGCAGCACCACCTGGGGGCTCGAGCGGGTGCGCCCGGACTGGGAGGGTGGGCAGGGCGGTCGGGGAGGAGCTGCTGGAGCCGGCACTGGACGCCAGGCTGGACGCCACACTGGACCCCACACTGGGGGCGAGCGGGTGAGCCGCTGCTGACACGGTGAGGTGGTTCTGCGCAAAGACACACAAGCAAGGTGAGCAGATGAGAGGACAGCAAGTGACGAGGACACGGGGGGATGGGCACCTGAAGCCTCACGGACGGGATGGTTGGCTACCGTCTGTCCCCAAAGCAAAACATAAAGAGGTTCAGCTCCTCTGCATGGTCTGGGGGGGCCTGGAGGGCAGGCGGTCGCGACAACCCAGACAGGCAGACCCACTAGCTGCCGATCGTCCAGGGACAGAAACCAACACACCTAGGAAGGGTCGTCTCCGTGAGCTGCTCTGCAGAAATGGTTTCCTAGGGGCGCCTGGGGGGCTCAGCTGACTAAGGGTCCGGCTTTGGCCCAAGATGTGACCCCGGGATCCCGGGATCGAGTCCCGCATTGGGCCCCCCACGGGAGCCTGCTTCTCCCTCTGCCTCTGCCTGGCTCGTTCTCTCTCTCTTACGCTCTATCTCAAATAAATAAACTCTTTTAAAAAAAAAAGAAAAAATGGGTTTCAAGAGCAGACATGCTAGGAAAAAAAAAAAAACCCAAAAGGCACAAGCAGAGAGCCAACGCCGCTCCTGCAAACAGGAAGGTGACTGCATGAGATGAGCCCGTTACCTGAGAAAGGTAAACAGAGGGCACAGGGCAGCTGGTAGACAGCAGATCAGAACCAGCGCGGTCCGGGGGTGGTGTGCGGACAGCACTGTCCCTGGGGAAGAGGCCCGGCGACAGTCCCGCGGGCCGGGCTCAGGCTGTCCACGCGGCCATGGCGGAGGCGCAACCAGGGTCACCGTGCCACTGGGCACTAGACACCCTGCTAAGGGGACGTGTGCGGCGTCTGGTTTTTGCTTCAAATGGAGACAGGAGTTCCCTGGGGGCAGGGGCTACAAGACCAACCGTAAGGGGGGGGTTCCTACTGGTTTGTCAGCACCAGTGGAATTCTCCTCAAAAATTAAAAAAAAAAAAAATGACGTTTTGGGAGAGAGAGAGGAACGCAGCACAGGGCAGTTCCTCCGCATGACTGTCCAGGCGCTGGCCTAGCTCAAGAGGGGCCCAGGGGCAGCCCCCCGTCCTGCGGCACGCAGGGACCCCGGCAGGCCACCGTGCCCCGCCACCGTGCAGGCTGTTTTACACTCACTGGAATGGAGTCCCCAGGGCAGAGAGGGTACCCCTCGCCGCCTCTGCCGGGCTGCCTGGTCCCAGGTGCACACACCACCCAGCCAGTCCCCCCCCCGCCCACGGAGCCTGCTGTGCTCCACCTGCCCAGTCCTAGCACCGGGACCGTCCCTCGAAGACGTCGGGTGACACATCATCCTGAAGGCTGGCGACACCCTCGCCGGGCCCTCCTGAGCCTACGGGGATGGACGGCCTGGCGCCATCCCCCGGCCACAGCACACAACAGGTGCCCGGAGGTAAGGACGGCGTCCCCAGGGCGTCCCCAGGGCATCGCCACACCAGCCTCCAGCCATGTGGCCTTTGAAGCTGAGGGTCCCAGGGAAATACTGTCAGCCACCCCGCCAGCCTGGGGAGCCCCAGGCTGGCTTTCCTACCTGCCCCCTCGGGTGCTCCCTTCCCCCCAGAGGCTGGCTCTGGGTGAGCCGGGGCTCGGCTCCTGGCCGCTGGCACGCGTGAGAACACCCCGGGCGGCAGGCCAGCGCAATGTCCCCAGGGAGGCCCACGCACCCACAAGGCCTCTCCAGGGGTGTCTGGACCTGGCAGGGGCTGGCCCCCGGAGCGCTGGCCACTCCCCTTCTGACGCTTCCCGCTTCGGGCTCTTAAGGAACAGCTCGGCCATCCTAACCTCCAGGACACGTCAGAAAATAACTAAGTCGCGTTTCTACTTTCAACTCCATTTCTGCCAATTCCAAAGCTCCTGGGAGAGGAACCCGCACCACTTGTCCTGAACACTTCGCGAGTCCTTTGGGGGGGCCTGAGGAGGGGTGCCGAGGGAACTAGGGCAGCTGGGGGCCGGACGCCTGGCCCGCGGGGCATTAGGGGTAAAGACCACAGCAGAGGCCAGAGACAGGGCAACGGGCTGGCCAAAGGGGGACACTGGCTGCGGCCGCGCTAATGCTCAAGCTGTGCCGCCTTACGGGGACAGGGAAGCACCCAGGTCCTGGGTCCTAGAGCAGAGGCAGCCAGTCCTACCCAGTGACTCAAGTCCTCAGGCAAAGGGAGATGTGCACAGACCCGGCGGGGGGGGGGGCACCAGACGAGACAGCGTGGGGCCGGGGGGGAGGACTTGCAGTGGCAGGCACCTCGGAGCCCTGGGAGTGAGGGCGTCGGTGGCCGTGGGTAGGCAGCCCCCAGTGACGCGTGGGGAGGACCTGGTGTCGTGGCTCCCACAGTGCAAGCCAAATAGTTTTTGAACATGAAAACAAAAGAATGTGCAACAGCCGAGCGTGAGAACAGAAGTGAAACTTTAACGACGCCACAAAGGACAAGCGGGTGGCTCTGGGTCTGGAGGGAATGCGCATGGGTCCCAGCGCCAGGGCCGCCCCGCCGTGCCACGGGGGCCTCGAGGCCAGTACCTGCTTGCTGTCCTGCTCCCCGGCCCTGTGGCTGCCCTCGGCAGGGGACTCTCTCCTCTTCGCCTGCAACAGAGAAAGCAGCAGCGTGGGAAGCAGGCAGCGGGGCTGCAAATGCAGAGACCGGAGCTTCCCTCGCCCGCAAGCAAATCCGGGGACGGAAGAGGCGTTCAAGTCACTACCCTCCATCAGGTCAGGACCACCTGTCACCCCTGCTTGCGGATCCCCGGCCTCTGGGCCGGTCTGTGGGGCCGAGGGCGGGAGCTCTGCAGCCCCCGAGCCCATGGGTCGTCAGGCTGAGCTCCGGGAGCTGGCACAGGTCTTGGGAAGAATGAGGCCGAGCCCTCCCTGCCCCTCACCAGGCAGCACACGGCTCATGTGCACGTACGGGCCCACGAGATCACCCTCACCCGACACCGTGCCCTCCCCATGTCTACCGGCCAGGCCTCCTCCCTGGAAACAAGCCCCTCTTCTCTCATCTTGGGGCTTCTCCGTTTGTTGCTCTTCCTTAGAAGGACATTAGGCTGCCAGGTCCGACTGCTTCGTTGGGTCTTGACTCCCTCTCCAGGAAGCCTTCCACGTGGAAAACGACCCTCCTCTCCTGTTTCCCTCTGATCACTAATGCACAGGGGCCCAGGCTGCACCCCAGGGCAGTGGGAGACGTTTTCTCCGCCCCACACGTATAGAAATCCTGTGTCGGACGAGCCACCTGCCAGGGAAACTGCCCAGGGCAGGCTTTGCTCACGGAGCTCTGGACCAGCACTCCCCCAGTTCACATACGAACCTGCAGGCCAGGGGCGCCCGGGGGCTCAGCGGCTGGGCTTCTGCCCCTGGCTCAGGGCGTGACCCCAGGGTCCTGGGATCGAGTCCCGCATCGGGCTCCCTGCATGGAGCCTGCTTCTCCCTCTGCCTGTGTCTCCCTCTCTCTCTCTCTCTCATGAATCAATAAATAATTATCTTAAAAAAAAAAAAAAAGCAAAACCCGCAGACCAGACTCTGCCTTCAGATCTAAAGAGTGTTGTGATTTTCACTAGTTTTGCAGTAAGTGAATGTGCAGCAGTGGCTCAGGGCATCCTGGCCTTTCTTCTTTCCTTTTTTAGTTTCTGGATTTGGAAAAGAACCCACAGTGATCACCAGCGCGGAGGAAGACAGAGTCCACGCAGGCGCTGACTGGGCCTTTTCCTACTATAGGACACGTGGCCACGGGCTCAGCCCGGAGGCCAACCTGGTATGTGTGGCCCCCCACCCCCGCATCTCTCCTCCAGGAGCGACCTGCCCCCTGCAGGGGGGTAAGGGCCTCCGCGGTCACTGACCTGACCAGGTGGAGTGATACTGGGAAGAAAGCAAGGTTATCCTGAAACCACTCTGCCTGCCTTGGGAACACACGGCTCCCCGTGGGGGACCCCACAGCGTGTCCACCCCCCCGCCCCCCCCACGGCCCCCTCCCCGGCCCCCCTGCAGGGCCGGCTCCACACCACTCAGCGCTTCTGACACCAGGTGTCCGCTGTCTTGTGCCGGTTCCAACAGCCTCTGCCTGGGGTCGGCCTCGGAGACGGCCCTACCTCAGCCCCCACCCCCTGCCCATCCCCCGTGCTCTGACCGGCCTCTGCTCTCTGTGGGTTCAGCCACCTTCTAGAACAGCTCACAAGACAGGAAAGCGCTCACTTACGTTCACTGATTCATCATGTAACAAACGATACGGCCAAGAGCACAGAGGGCCGGAGATGTAGCGGGTGAGGTCCAGAGGAGCCCCGGCCCCAGGCGTCACTGGCCCGCACTTGGGGGCTCCTCACAGGGGCTCGCCCTGCTAACTCCACGTCCAGCCCCTTCCTGCTCCTGGGCCCCCTGGGCCACGTGGGGCAGCAGACAGTCCCACGCCGCTAACCACGCCTTGACCTTTCCAGTGCCCGGCCCCCATCCAGGGGCCACGAGGAGCCCACCCAGTCACCTCCTCAAAACATGTTTCTATCACCCCCCAAATCACAAGGGCTTCAGGAGCTGTGCCAGGAGCTGGGGTCAGAGACCAACGTGTACGTTTCCCACAGTTTCACACGTCGTCCTGTCAAAGGACAGCAGCACACGTGTGCTCCGGGCAGACGGGGAGCCTGTGGTGGAGACACCACGTCCCTCCCCCGCTCGTAAACCAGAGATTCCAACCCCAGATGGAATCCTCGAACCCAGGACCACATCTACACATGACGGGACCCCGGGGGCTCCTTCTCGGGTGTGGGCCACACAACGATGGGGTCAGGAGGCAGGGGCGAGTCTAAGGATGACGCAGAGGCCCTCAGTGTACAGACTCCGTTCACGGTGCACGGGAGGGAGCAGGGAACACGCTCGCACGGACCGAGATCTGGGGCTTGCTGCTGATCCTTCCAGAGGACGCTGCTTGGGAGGCAGAGGCGGAGTGGCCCCCCGCACGGCACCCATTCGGCACACCCTCATCCTGACCTGGTGCCCTGGGGCGGCCAGGGGCTACTGACACGGCCGCAACCCCGCCAGGCCCCTACCCCCGGGGCCACTGCAGCAAGAGACCCCAGGGAGGCGAAGCCAGGGCTCTCGGCTGTGTCCGTGTGCCCGTCCAGTTGAGACCCAGCAGCCAATGGCGGTGCCGCTGGGGCGCCAGCAAGATGGTCCCTACACGGGGCCCAGGACTCAGACTCAGCCCACAGGACAGCACTCGCCGGCTCATTTTTAATCTTTAATTAAGATGAAGTGACACAAGGGTAAGCTTTCCGCAGCGAGGGACTCAGCCCGTCGCCAGCTTGTGCAACCGCCGGCTCCCCATGGCTCCCGTCTCCACCCTGCCGGGGGCTCGCCCAGGCCCCAGCACCCACCCCGCACCCTAGAGAGCTGAGTCTCTAAATTGCAGAAAAGTTTTAAAAACACAAGGAACGCCCTTACCAGACCTCGTCTGCAGGCACGGGCGCCCTGTCCCGGCACCGTCCCCCCAGAGCCTGGGGCTCCCGCACAGCTGGTCTCACTGGGCGCCACCCCCCAGCACCCGCCTTCAGCCCAGGCTCTCAGGAAGGCCAAGCCAGTGGCCCTCGGACCACCACCTGAGCCCACGGCTGCCGCGGTCCCCCGAGAGCCACCGAGAGGAGGCAGGGAGGACCCGGTGAGGCTGCTGGCCAACCGGTGGTGGGAAACTCCTCTGCTCAGTCTCCCCAGGGGATGCCTGGCTGGGCACAAAGGGGGCTCAGGGGTGTGGGGCCTGGGCCACACAGGGGGCTGGGGGGTGCCCGTGTGCTGTCAGCATGGGGCGAGGGGAATCAGGTGGGGCACCCGTGCGTCACACCCAGGACTGCGGGGACTCGACCCTCTGGTCTTCAGGCTCCACCACTCAGGCTCAGACGCGAGCGCCCACGCACAGGGGCTGCGGCGCACTGACCCACCCGGAGCGTAGCCGCCGGCGCAAGACAGACAGGGACCTGGCTCCTCACAAAGAAATCCCACCCAGGTTCCTCTCGCCTTTCCTAACTTCTCTTGTTAAAAGAAGCACAAGGCAGGTACCGACGCCCGATCCGCCTGCCCTCCTGCGCCAACAGCGAGAGCAGACACGCGGCGCCCCCCCCCCCCCCCCGGCAAGGCCCGGGGGCAGGGGCGCCATCCGCCCCCCGAAGCGAGCACCCAAACCTGAGCCCCCAGCCCCCACCGCGGGGCCCATGCCCCGGCCTCTATGGAGGGACCTGCCCACCCCCCCCCCCACCTGTGAGGCATCCGCCCTGGACTCGGGCCCTTCTGGAGGCTCAGCCTGATGAATGTTTCCTGAATGGCCGGAGCGTGCGTGTCTGGCAAGTGGCACAGCTGGGTCGGCCCATCGAGGCTGAAGCCGGCCAGGCTGTGACAGAAGGAGCTGCCCACCCCACGGGGGGACCCCGCCAGCACGTCGCCCAGAGATCGTCTCTGTCTGCATCCCCAAGCGCCACCCCCCACGGCCCTCCTTGAGGTGCTGTCCACTTACGTGTGCGGGCTGGCTGCTGCTGGCCATGGAGCTGCTGGCAGCGGCGGGGGCCAGGTCTCGGCAGGCCCAGCCGTTGGCCATTCCGAGGCTCTCTGTCAAGAAAGGGAGGCCGCGGGCTTTGCACGACCGCTGGCTGGAAATAGACCATGTGCAGGGTGGCCCGGCTCCAGGAGCCCCCACGCCAGGGTGGAGGCCTGGTGACAACAGTCTTCCCCAGCGACCAGGGACGGGACGGCACTGAGCCCTGGGAGAGCCTGAGCTCGGTTCTCAACGACTCGAGAGCCAGAAAAGCACAGGAAATTTCAACAAGACTAGCCCCCACCCCCCCATGGCTAAAACACAAATGAGTTTGCAACCCTCCTGCTGAACCAGAAGCCATGCCCTACAGGGTGGGGGGCCTCCGGCTGGGGCGGCCTGGAGCCAGGGGACCATACGGGGCAGGTCGGGGAGCAGCTGGCCCCCCTCTCGCTCCAGACGGGCGGGGAGCCTGGCAGGGGCCGCGAGCTGTCAGGCGTCGGGCACTTACTCTCCACGTGCGCGAAGGCGCAGAACGGACCGCGTGGGCAGTAACCGGTTTGGCGCATGTCATTGCACTTTGTAGACTTGTAGATCTAGGAAGCGGATGTACAACAGTGAGATAAATAAAATTTAAAAATGAAACGGGCGAAAAAAAAAAATGAAACGGGCGCCTGAGCAGCTCAGTCACTTAAGCATCTGACTCTTGGTTTTGGCGCAGGTCACAAGCTCAGCGTCCCAAGGTCGAGCCCTGCAACGGGCTCCCCGCTCAGCACGGGGTCTGCTTGGGGTCCTCTCCCTCTGCCCCTCCCCTGCTCTAAAAAAGTACGAGAATAAAAATTAGATAAAATGAGGGAGCTGGTTGTTCTAAAGCTTGGGGTCCTGAAGGGGTCACTGAGGCAGGACCACAACCTGGAGTCCAGGGCTCCTGAGTCGCCCGGCGGCCCTGCTGCTTTGTTTCCAACACAAATCCAAGGGTCTGGTTTGCTCAGCAGACTTCAGCTGACCCCACCTGCACCTTCCCAAGGAGGGCCTGGACCTGAGCAGCTCCAGGGGGGCGGCCTCTGGGCCCCGGGACGCCTGCCTGGGAAGTGACCGTTTACCCGGCTTGGACCACACGGGGTAGTAAACGCGATCTGTGGTGGGGGCCGGGCCACCCACCGTCAGCTCAGCCCCTGGAGGGCCGGCAACCAAGGGCGGCTCGTCCACATGACCCCGAATAAACCCCAAGGGCCCGGGGGCTCCCCTGCTCGGAGCCACACGGCCGCGGGCGGTGCCCACACGCCTCCCTGGGGACAGAGCTGGGCGCGGGTGCCCGGTCTCCCAGGGACCCCACCCCACGCAGGACCCCGCCCTCCGCTGACCTCTGCCCTACCTGGGCACACAGCCCTGCCGAGCTCTGAGTCCTTCTAGCAAATCATGGGGCCTGCGGGTGGTCCCAGGGACCCCCGGGCACACCAAGGAGACCCGCGCTGGCCCAGGATTGTACCTCGGGGTGGAACTGCTGCTCCGCGCGCGAGTGGCAGTACTGGCAGCTATCCCCGCTGTCACACCTCGCGGGCTCGCCCCACTCGTCGCCGTGCTTCACGCTGGGACACGGGGTGGACCTGGGGGCACAGGGACGGGCCTGTCTTCATCTTTACAAAACACAGAGTGAGGCTGAGCCAGAGCTGCCCACACCGATGTGCAGATAGTGTGGGGAGGCAGGCGGGCCTCCTGCGGCCTGGAGGACACGGGCCGGGCCCGCCCCGCGCAGAGCACCCCTCTCTGCTCCCAGGGGTACGTCCACACTGGATCTGAGCCCTCGGTGGGAAGCCAGTCCAAATCCTCGTTGCTCAAGGCCTGCTGGCGGTGCTGCTGTAACGGCTTCGGGTTCACAGGGGAAACCACCCACAGTGGGAAACGGGACAACGGTGACGACGGAGCACATCCGCTCTCCCTTTGGTACCTGGCGAATTCCTCCCGCCCTCCCAAGCCGACCTCTAGGATGCAGCCTTTGGAGGCTACGGATCTGTGCCCCCTTGGCCCTCAACGACTGGCGGAGAGAATTCGCCCTGTGGGGTCCGGGTGGGGGGTGCGGGCTCCGCGGGGCTCACCTGTACTGGAACCTCCTGGGGTTGCGCCGCCTGTCCCGGCTATTGTGGTAGTGCGGGCACGCGTAGCCCTGGCGACACAGGCGCGGGGGCTTCGGGCACTGCTCCGTCTTGTAGCTGCCCAGCACGAAGTTGGCGTCTGAAACACGGGTTCCGCGTGGGAAGGCGGCCGTGTGAGCTGGCGAGCTCACCGCAGCCCGGCTTGCACCACCCAGAGGAAGTGCCTGCGGCCACGATCAGGAGCAGGGCGCCCACACCCGCTACGGCCTGGGAGCCCTGAGGACCGCAGGGCTCGCTCAGACATCAGCAGACCAGGCGATGCCTCCGTGGGGCGAGGAGGACGCGGGGGTGCGGGAGCTGCCGGATGCCGGGGACGGGGGACAGGGCTTCACACCTGCTCACGGGAAGGCCTCACGACACCAAACATACCGAGAAGCCCTGACACACACACTTTAAAATGGTGCATTTTAACTCTGACGTAGATGATGGGCTTTGGGCAATGAGGGCATGTCATGTCGGCTCAGGACAGATGTCCTGCTGTGCTGGGGACCTGTGCACACGGAACTCCCTGCACCTTCCCATCAGTGGAACCTAAAACTGCCTCCAAAATAGGTCTACTTTTTATTTATTTACTTTATTTTATTTTTTAATTTTTTTTAATTTTTTTTATTTGTTTATGATAGTCAGAGAGAGAGGGGCAGAGACACAGAGACACAGTGTCTCTGCCCCTCTCTCTCTCTCTCTCTCTCTCTGTGTGTGTGACTATCATAAATAAATAAAAAAGTTAAAAAAAATTTAAAAAAATAAAAATAAAAAAAAAGATTTTATTAAAAAAAAAAAAAGATTTTATTTATTCACAAGACACACAGAGACACAGGCAGAGGGAGAAGCAGGCTCCATGCAGGGAGCCCCACGTGGGACTCGACCCCGGGTCTCCAGGATCACACCCCGGACCAAAGGCGGCGCTAACACGCTGGGCCACCCGGGCGTCCCTAGATCTATTTTTTTAATGGTTAATTTCACATTATCTGCAACTTCTATCAAAGCAAAAACAAACAAAAAAAAAACCACTGGGGTTGTTTAAAAACAAGAAACAATGAGAGGAGATTCCTAAAGATCGTGCTACTCCAGGGCTGGCTAACAACCGCCCCAGCCCCTGCCGCCCCCACTGCCCGGCCCGGGCTCCCGGAGCCTCAGCGGCCCTCTCCAACTCCAGCCACGCCAGTTCAATTTGAAATGCGTCACCCGGGACAAGAGAGGGAAACCGCAGGGCAGGGCAGGGGCGGAGGGGGTTGGGGAACAAAAAAAAAGCCCATTTTAAGAAAATAGAAATCACAGAACACGGATTCCCGAGTGTCAACTGCATGCCTCGTGCGGATACAGGGTCTGCCGAGCTCCGCGAAGGCCACAGAGCCGCTCGCAGCAACCAGGAGACACGGGCTCCCTGGTGCGGGCGACGCTGCTGTCGCGGCCACGGCTCTGGCCCCGGGGGCGGCGCGTCTGAGCTCTGCACACACCTGAGCATCCCAGGGTGAGAAGGGACGGGCACGCCACGATGCCCAGGGGGAGCCCGGCACCCGCGCTGGCCTGAAGCAGCCCATCTGAGGAGCTACGCCCCGGTGTTTCCAGGCGCGTGATAATGTGGAGAAGGCACAGCCACCAGAGCAGCGCCAAGGGCCCGCGGTCACCAGCGGCTGGGGCGACAGCGCAACCCGGAGGTCGCTGTTCGGGCGGGCGCAACAGGCTTGCCCAAGGGAAACTGCGGTCGCCACCTGGTGACAGCATATGGACCTCGGGTCCTTGGTTGTAACATGTGTCAGGTGGGCGCAAATGGGGCGGGGGGGAGCCCTGTGCTACGGCAGCCTTCCCTAAACCTAAGCCCCCAAAACGAAACCTGCTGATTAGAAAGCCAAGGTCCACGTGAGCCCAGCTCTGCACGGGAAGGCCCGGGAGGCGCTCTGCCCGCTGCGCCACCCCTCCCCGGGTGGCAGCTGACTCCACCAGCATGAAGGGCAGGGCAACCGTGCGGACCAGACGCCTGGGTGCAGATCCCACCCGGCCGCCACTCCCCGAGGGCCTGGGGTGATGTACCCCACTGGGGACTCAGTTTCCCCATCCGGTCTACAAGGGAAGGCGGTGAGGCCCACCGTGCGGCCACCCTCCAGACAGACGAACACCCCCCTGCCCACCATCCACGGCGGCCTCGGGGTTACCTTGCCACCGGGGGTCCTCGCCCAGGATCTTCTCGATCATGGCCTGGCTGGCCAGGACCCCAGGCTGCATATCCGGGACACCATCCCCGCCGCACAGCTGGCCGTTATGCAGGGCTTCGTGGGCCCGCAGCTCTCTGCAACCAGAGCACACGCCGGGGGGGGCGGGGGGCGGTCAGCTGGCCTCCCCGAGGGGAGGGAACCACGCAGGGCTGACACGCCGCGGACCGCCAGAGAGGCACAGGGCCAGTGGCCCTGGGGCGCATCCCCGACCCGGGACCACAGTCTGCGCCCTGGATTCACCGTCGTCGGAGCTGTTTAGGGAGGACTTGCCCCCCGCGCCCCGCCCGAGGGCACCTGGCGCTCAGCCCTGCGAGCTCCCGAGCTCCCGGAGCAACGAGGCCAAGGGAAGGACACCTTCTCGTCAGGAACGAGCTCAAGGCTGAAGACGGAGCGGCTTCAGGCAGCGGTGCCTGCAGCCCCGGGGGGTGGCCGGCGCCCCCTGCCCCACACACCTGATGTCGCACACGGGTGGCCGCAAGTCCAGCGGGCCGTGGGCAAAGGCGCAGTGCAGCCCATTCTTCACGCAGTGGCCCCGGGCGTCCGTCTCATGGATGCACGTGCCCGTCTTGTAGTAGCGCAGGTGATACTTGCGCTCGGTGTCCCCCGTCGTCCGATGCAGGTACGGACACCTGGGAGGCAGACGGTTGGACACGGACCACCTGAGGCCTCAGGGTAGGGGGACGCCCTCCGCGCCGACCTGCCCCCTCCCCGTCAGAAGTTGGCCAAATGTCTGCTGTCACCGCAGGAGTGCCACCTGGACAAGACCCCCACCGGACTCGGGGCCCGTCCTCGGGGCACCCCAACCTCCACAGAGCCCTCAACTACACACGGAAGAAAAACACGACCCCAACCTTCCCCAAAAATCTTCCCTAATCGGGCTCTGAACGCGGGAACGCGAAGCTGCCCCTGGATGCAGCCGTGCCCCTCGCTTTCCTGACCAGCGTGAGCGTCATCCGATGAGCAGTTGGCAGTCACCCCGTCCCACACAGAGGCTTCTGGGGACCCCCTGAGGGAAGGCGGGGCCGGCAAGGTGCAAGGGATGCTGGGGGGACCAGGGTGAAGCAGGGGAGGGGCAGGGTCATGGGGGGCACCAGCCCCTCACTCCCAGGGGGGTCCACGGGGCTCCCTGGCAGCACAGGGCTCAGGCTGGGGGGGGTGGCCGGCACTCGGGGAGCTGGGTCCCAAGCCCACCTGCAGGTCGGTCCCTCCAGACGGGAGCCACAGACACAGAAGGGGGATGCACACGCAGAGGTGAGAGGGAGCCTGTCCCTGCCCATCCCCTCCAGCAGCGGCCAGTCCCGCCACGTGGCCACGCTCACTCTCAGCCCCTCGCCCCTACGATGAGGAAAGGCAGGCCCGGCCCTCGCAGGGGCAGGGGTGCCACAGACCTTCCCGAGCCCTGGGGTGCGCACAGGCCGGGGACCCACCCGCAAAGGCCAGCGGAGGGGCTGCTGGGAGGATGAGCAGCCCTGGGGCCATGTGTGCGCCAGGGAGCAGGTCAGCAACCGAGGGGGTGTCTACAGGGCACCCCCCGGCCTCGGAAAGGAGGAAACCCTGACGTCCTACACCACGATGCAGCCTGAGGACGCTCGTGCACAGGGAAGCCGCGCGCTGACGGACAGACGCTGGACGCGGCCACTCTCGGGGCGGCTGGGGGACAGGGCCCCCCGAGCGTGGAGCACATAGTGGATGCTGGCCCAGGAGCGGGGATCTGCTCCCTTCGGGCAGGAGCGGGCACACGTCCCAGCGGGCGCTGCTGCCGGTCACAGCAGACACACCGCACTCGAGACCCAGGGGGACGGACGGGGCGCCCTCGGATGGCGGGCCCAGGGCGCGGCGGGTACACAGCAGGCAGCCCCCCATGGACCCACAAAACACAGGGCAGGGGAGGATGCAGGGAGGCCCCGCTGCGCAGATCGGAAGAGGCATCACCACGTCACACCTGCAGGTCCGAGATGGGACTGCATCCCCGGGGAGCAGAGGCAGCAGGTGCGAGCGGCTCCTCCGTGCACGCGTCCGGGGTCCAGGCCACCTTCCCTGCCCGGCTCGGCTGCACCCGATCCCCCCACCCCCCAACCCTGCTCTCCCCTGCCCGGCTCTGCTGCACCCTGACCGCCCCTCCTCACTCTCCCCTGCATGTGCACAATGCCCTGGTCTGTGACTGGTTTTGGGGCAGCCAAGTGGCTAAGGCTGTCATGAAAAGTGGTGCCACGTGGACCGCCTGCCCTGCTTTCACGGAGCCCAGAGCCCAGCCCCACCCCTGAAGGATCTCCCCGGGTGTGACTCGTTCCACCCAGCACCAATCAGGCGAGGCCCTTGGTTCTCAAGCCAGCTGCCACGGTTGGTGGCCCCATGTAATTAAAATGCGGTTCCATCAAAGGCCTCATGTAGGGGCACATGCTCTGGAAACCGTGAACCGGGCTGGGGCTGTAGGGACGAACAGACCAGAGGCTCAACACTGCCTCCACACCTCCAGGGGACCCGAGCTTGTCCCCCTCCCTCTGGCAACCCTTGCCTGAAACAAGAGTAGAACTGCCAAGGTGGGTCGGCCAAGCAAGGCAGAGGGGCCCACCAAGCTCACACCCACTGGGAGTTAGCACCAGCCCCGGAACACAAGGGGTGTGCTCTTGACCTGCAAGAGGTCAAGACCTGCAGGAGGTCTGGATACTGCTCTTGACCTGCAGGAGGATCCCAGCTCACGCTGCTGCTGGTGCTCTGGGCCACCATGGCGGGGCGGTGCTGCTGGGCTTTAAGAGACACTCAAGGGCAACCCGACTCCCTGCCAGCACCCAAGGGGCTCACACAGAGGTGATGGACACCAGAACACAGCACAAAAATAACTGGGGTGCAAAATGGAACAGGTCAGACCGCCCGACGGTCACGGAACATGGGTGATGACAAATCCGAATGAAGGGAAGGCCCATGGGCCAAAGACAACGGGGGGCAGGAGCCAGGGGGTGGACAGCTGGGGCTTCTGAGGAGAATGCTGACCGTGCCCGTTCCCTCAGCCTTGCACCCCGTCTCTGGGCCCCCAAGCCAGGGCAGTGACCTAACAGGGACCCTCAGAGCCAGCAGCAGGCCCATGTCCTTCCTCTGTGCCCACAAAGCTGCCACCACCCTGGAAGACCGAGGCTCCACTGGCCTGGGGGGGCTGTGCCGGGGGCTTCCTCCAGTCACCTCCTCCACCCCTGCGCTTCCACTCTCCGGGCCTCTCCCACCACAATCCCCTCCAGCTGGCTAACACATCGCCCCCGCCTTCAGCTGCCGACTATTCAGCTGACGCTCAGGACCTGCACTTGGCCTTCGCCTCAGCCCAGAAGCCCGAGCAGAGTTCTCCTGTAAGACCAGCTACCTTGGGGATCCCTGGGTGGCTCAGCGGTTTAGCGCCTGCCTTTGGCCCAGGGCCGATCCTGGAGTCCCAGGATCGAGTCCCACGTCGGGCTCCTGGCATGGAGCCTGCTTCTCCCTCTGCCTCTGTCTCTGCCTCTCTCTCTCTCCCTCTATGTCTATCATAAATAAATAATAAATCTTAAAAAAAAAAAAAAAGACCAGCTACCCTGCGGTGAAACACGCCCAAAACCGAGGGCCACGGACCTTGCACACAAGGGCGCCTTTCCACGCAAGCGTCAGCCTGGAGGCAGGGGTGGCGCGGGAGACTGTGACCAAGCGAGCGTCCTGGCCCAGGGCCTGTGTCCCTGGATACCCCAGGGGCAGGGAGGAGGGGGCTGTGTGGAGAGCCAGGCCTGACAGGGGAGCCCTGCAAGGACAGGGCCGCGGGCAGGGGTCGGGCCCGCGTCCTCCCAGGCCAGGAGATCTGTAACTGGGTCTGGAGGGCCATTGGCCAGGGACGGGGTGCAGGAGGAGGTCGGCAGAGGTCACCACCTTGTACCTTAAATGGCTGGGAGGGGGCTTGTTCTCCCCCCAGACCCCTGGGCAGCCCCACGCTCTTTACCCTCGGAGCCCACCTCTGCGAAGGCACCTGACCCTCCCCAGGGCACACGCGCGATCTCGGGCAGCCGGAGAGCTAAGCATACCCGGGTTCCAGGTGCGACCACCTGCACCAGCCCTGGGGGGGGGGGGGGGGGGCTGAGGTCGTCGGCACCCAGTGGCTGTCTCCGAGCAGCTTCCAGTACGGAGCTGCACCCCGGAGGATGAAAACCCACCGCAGAGGAGTCGCCTTCCCTGAAGCCCGGCCAAGGAGTACCTGAGATGGGTCCCACAGGTGGGAAGGCCCGTAGCCGCAGCCCCGACTCGCAGCGGAAGCCCGGAAGCCCACATCGCGGGCCCTGAGGGGGGGGCATGGCCAATCATGCCCGGGGGGGGGGGCGGGGGGGAAGGGGCAGGTCCACCAGAGCAAGTCAGGGAGGCGCCGGGAGCCAGGGCCAGCCTGGCCAAAGAGGGCATGCCCAACAAGAAAAGGGGGTGATGGCAGGGACGCCCCTGCGGAGGGGAGATGACAACGGGAGGTCAAGGTGACACTGGGAGCGCCACGGGGGTGAGGGGGGCTCTGGAGGGAGGGGTGATGGTGAGAGGGAAGGGGTGACAGCGAGGGGAGGCAACTGGCAGCCTAGTGAAGGTGGAGCTGGTAGGGGCCCCAAACCTCCTGGGGCGTCCTGTCCCACCCCACAGCTCAGCCTGCACCGAGAACAACGCTGGATGCTGTATCACGGACGACGCTGGAGGGTTTTGCTCTCTTGTACTATTCATGTCTTAAAACAACAGTTGGTAAGACATGTGCCCCAGGCAGAACTTTCGAGAATCCAGACACCGAAACAAGGGGAAGGTTCTGTCCTGGCTCTGAAAGGGAGCATCTACTTACAAATTCCCCAACGATACTGCATGACCAGAATACGTAGACTGATGGGTCAAACTTGGGGCCACCCCACAGCGGGGGATGAGAAAGTCCCTCTCCCAAGGAGCTGAGCAGCAGCGACTAAGGACAGATCTAGAGGGGAGGCATCGCCCTGCCAGGCACTTCCTAAAGGACTGAGGCTCAGGACAACTGGCAAAGTCTACTCACACTCGCGTGCCTCTCTCACTGCACCGATGCCCACAGGACGCACCCGCAAAACAAAACGTCTACCAAGCACCGCACTTCCACTCATTCTGATTCTGTGATGGCCTCCGCGTCACTTAGACCACAAATTACTGTTTCTGTAACAAACAACCGTATTATTCAATTACGGACACCGGCTGAAAGGACCATGCAGGTGGGTGTCGGCTGCAGATGCTTCATCCCTCGAGGACTGGATGCCGCCTGATGTCCAGCAAAGGGGCCGAGTCAATACCAGGACATCCAGACTCTGGAGCCCCGAACAGCTGTCCAGACACGCTTTGTGCACATGCATGAAAAGCATCAGTGAATACTGCCAGTTGGTCCCTTGTACTGGGCTCGGGGATGGGGTCAGACATGCCGGTGGCTAAATTCCCACACAAGGGTCAAGCACAGTGCCCCCCCCCATCAGTGACTCGGGACCCAAGACTCGGGGGTGACTGATGCCAGGCTTCAGCGAGGCAAACACATCTCTTGTGAGGACGCGTTTTCAAAAAACATCAGCTTGGGAAGCAATGAAACAACATCCTTTTAAAGCGTCTGCCTTCGGCTCAGGTCACGATCCCGGGGTCCCGGGATCGAGGCCCGCATCGGGCTTCCTGCTTCTCCCTCTCCCTCTGCTGCTCCCTCTCTTTCTTCCTCTCTCTCTCTGTCAAATAAATAAAATTTTAAAACTTCAAAGAAACGTAACACAGTCTTAACAGAGGAGGAGCTGGGCACGTTACTTCAGCAGGCTTCAGGCTGCCTTGATGATGAGCCCATTTAACTATCCAGTGTGGAACCAGAAATCGCTCAGGAAGCGCATACAGTTCATGACACCATCAGGGATGAAAAGGTTACTGCCAGGCCCCGAGCAAGTCTGGAAAACAAAGGGTCAGGGACACCACTCTGCTCTCCGTTCAGCAGGGGACAGCAGCCCTGGACGGGGAGCATTCCCAGAAGGCCAGCTCCTGCCGCAGGCTCGGGGAGGAGCCTCACAGACGCCCCACACCAGCGCCAGATCTGAATAGAAGGGCACCAGCTGCTTCTGAGCCCCGGAGCCGGGTGTGGCTACCCCACGGCCCCGCACACGGACCAGCTGAGCTCGGCCGCGAACAGCCCAGGAGAGAAGAGTGACAGCTCAGACCACCGAATCCTGCGCGCTCGGGAGCACACACTGACTGCGCTTGTCTGTTTCCCAGTCTCCATGTTGCTAAATAAATACATCTGTTCGTAACACCACGGAGAAACTTGTAAGAAAAAAGCCAACCAAAACAGAACCTCGGTTTCTGAGGCTCGAAGAGCGCTCAGGAAATGGCAGCCCGAAAATGAGACAACTGTCCCAACTATCTTTAAGAAGTTAGATACGCAACCCGCAGGAAAGATGACGATCGCGACACGACTGGCGCGGTGTGAGCGAGCATTCCTGCACATTCGCTGGCAGGAAAACAGCCGACCAGCCGAAAGCTGCGCCTCACCGGGGTGGGTTCCGAGGCAGAGAACGTGGGGAATGGGGAACTGGGTGGAACGTGGGCGGGGCAGCGGCTGTGCACCCTGCAAGGGGGCCCCCAGACTGCAGCCTGAGGCAGCCACAGCCTGCCCCCCACCGGCGGCCGCGGCAGGCTGCGGAGCGCGGCGCTCACTCACTCGTCGCCGTCGGGGCACACGCCGCTGGCCTCGTCGTACTTGGAGCAGTACACGTCCGGGCTGTAGTTGAACGTGCCGTCCCGCCTGCGAAGCGGTCTGCGCCGGCGCTGATTTAGGAAATGCCAATGGAAACAGGTAAATGGCCTGTGCTGGGCGCACTTGTGCTGCACAAACAGGGCGCACTGCTCTGTCCTAAACTCCTTTAGATACCTAAAAAGACAAACAGCGTTGCGGGTCGCTTCCGCCGCCACCGCCGCCGGCGGGCGGCCTCGGGGACTCGAGGGCGGGGACCGGACCCCGCAAGCCAGGTGCCCCAACCTCAGGAGCGGCCGCCCCTCTGCAGGCGGGTAACCCCAAACGGCCGCCCCCGTCCCGGAGCGTTCCTCGGGGCACAGGCACAATCCGCAACCCCGAGCGCAGCCAGCCACCCCGGCCCGAGGTGCGACCCCTCCTCGACTCACGGGCGCCCCCACCCAGCCGCCGGGCCCCAGCGCCGCACAGCGACCCAGGCCCGCCGCGACCCGGGGAGGCAGCCCGAGTCCAGGCGGCCGCGCTTCCCCCGCCCCCCAAGGTGCGACCCCGCGGTGCCGTCTCCCGCCCCGGGACAGGCGCCCCTCCGAGGCCGGGCGGGGGGCGGGGGCGGCGCGGGGCCCCAGGCCCAGGGGCGCGGGGCGCCGGCCGGGAGGCGCAGGGGCCGCCCCCGCCCCGCCGCGGCCCGCGCGGCCACTGACCTGTAGTGGGTCGGCTTCTCCGTCTGCGGGGGGGACCCGCTCAGCGCCGCCGCCGCCGCTTTCGAAACCGACGGCATTTTCAGTCAAAACAATGCAGCGCGCATGCGCCAGGCGGGCCCGCCCCCGCCCCTCCGGATCTCCCCCCGCGCCGAGCCCCCCGCGCCCCCGCCCCGCCCCGCCGACCCCACAACGACCCGGCTACCATCCGGCTGCGCGGGGACACGCCCCCAGCTCCGCGACCCGCCCCCGGGGCACGACCCGGGCCCTGCGCCCCCGGCCGGCCCTCCCCCCGCGCTCCCCCGGCTCGGCTCGCCCCGCGGCGCCCTACGGCAGGTCCCCCGCGCGGGCATCTCGCGCCCTGAGCCCGGCTGGGAGCGGGGGCCGCAGGGGCTGGACGCGGCTGCCTGGGGCCGCGTGTGCGAGACGCGGGCCACAGCCGAGGGCCACCCTGCTGTCCTAGGAGGGGTGCGAACGGGGCCCCAAATTAGATCGTGGTCTCGGCTGCCCCAAGTGAGCGTACGAAACCTGTTTTTCATTGTGCACTTTAAGTGGGCGACGGAACAGCATGTGGATTATGGATCAATAAGGCGGAGTCTTAAAAAAAAAAAAAAACCGCGAGCCGCTGAGGGTCCAGGTGGCGTCAGCGGGAGGGTGGGGGGCTCGCAGGGGAGCAAGCCCTAGCTGCTGGGTCCTGGCTCAACGGACCCTAGGGGGACAGGACGTCCACTGCAGGAGGGAGAACCTGGGCCCAGGACAGTTTGGTGAATATGTGGCAGGAGACATTTTTGAAAATGTTCAACCTGGCTCGCAATTAAAAATTTTCTTAAAAAGCAAATTAAGTTAGAGCCCATGGAGTGGGCAGACAGGTCCCGAGCAGAAACCCCCAATGCTGGTGACCCTGAAGACCGCGTGGCTGAGCAAGATGAGCACAGTACAAAAACAGACGAAAGACAAAAAGGATTTAGTGACCCGTCCACTTGCTGTACTGCTGCCCCTTGGGGGGGGCCCGGCTCACTGTGGCCAGCTGGCCTCAGTCTTCCTCTGCCTCCTCTGGCTGGTGACAAGGCCCACCCATGTCTGGAGCATCACGTCCCAAACCACATAATCCCACCTACAGCACCAAAAGCAGTACTATCCACCCCAGTGCTTTGAAAAGCTGTGTATTTATACGCACAAAAAACAATCGGGAAAAAACAAGTTTCCACGTGGTTTTCTCTAGGTGGCGGGATTATTACAGTTTCCGATTCTCTTCCTTCTGCTTATCACAGTGTCTAACTTTTCCAAATAAACCACATGGCTGTTGTCCTATGAGAATTTTAATTAAAACAAAAAATGATTTTTATTAGGTCTGACCTCTTTTTATTCTCTGCAGGAACGAGAGAGAGAAAAATCAGGGTTCAGGTTTCAATGACTGTTGCTCAAACAGAACAGTTCCCCATCAAACAGATAACCACATGTTCACGTAGAGAAGGGACAGCTCGGATATTTGTTCCTGCCAGGAAAACAATGCAGCCTGAGCTACGTCAGGTCAATCTTTCCACACCTTGGTCTGTCTTTCAGTAAGGGACATACTTGTATGGATCCCACTTCCCTGCCAATCATGGTTTATGAGGTGGGCGGGATGCGGAGACCCCCGGGGAAGCCAGCACACTGCCAGGGAGCCAGCAGCTTCACACACCTGAAGAAAAGAAATCTCCAGGTGACTTTGGCACCAGAGACGTGCAGACAAGAAGCCTTCCACGAGAGGCCTAAGCAAATACAAGCTTCCTTGTGTGCATCTTGCATTTAATTCACAATTGCAGTTTCTTACTAAGCAGTCCTTGAGAGTGTGATCATTTAGATGCCTAAAAACACTCCCTGCAGTTTCTCAAAAGACATACTTCTCAGTCTCAACTCTACTCAGAAAACTGTTACCTTGCTAAAAATAAAAAATAAAAAAATCTGTAGAGCTGAGAAAGTTCATCATTTCTGGCACTGTTTGTAAATCCCACAAAAATCGCTTCTCGGCCTTTTGGCTAAGATCAGGTGTAAATCCCACAAATACCACGGAGACTTCTTTGCTCAGTTCCTACTTACTCTGGGGGAAAAAAAAAACGAAGGAACTGGAAAGGACTCAAAAAGTCTCCCTTTTTGGTTTTTTGGTGTATTTTTTTTTAATAAGATGCAAAAAAGGGGGAGGGGGAAAGGACTGGCTTAATGCCACGTGACCAAATCAAAAGTGTCAGGTTGTTAGTCCGTGAAAGTGACATCCAATCTACGCACTCCGGTAGGCCGCGAGCTGTGAGTCCGGCCCGCGACGGTCTCGGAAGGCGGGTGACGCACCACCTGGCTCCCCAGTGTCACCCGGCTGGCTCTGGAAACGGGATGCTGTTGGAGCGGGGCGCTCCGCAGACCCGGCAGCACACGAGGCGGGCAAAACCTCCACTGCGGATCTGAAAAGGACCCGTCCTTCTGCCGCGGGCGCCGGGCGGCGCTCGAGTGCCCCACGCCGGGGCGCTCGGTCCGCGCGGGGCGGCCTCCGCGAGCACCCCGCTAGCTGCGCGCCCGCTCCCCGGCCGCAGCTCCGGGCTCCCGCGCGCCGTCCGCGGGCTCCGCCGCCTCCTCGCCCAGCACCCGTCTCAACCACCGGTCGGTGCCGGTCTCCTGCCGCAGGAAGCACCAGACCACCAGGGCCATGAGGGTCAGGCTGAAGGGCAGCACCCGCCACCAGGGCCGCTGCTGCCCCTGCCCCAGGGAGTGCTGCACCGACCAGCGCGCCGGGTGCGCCCTACTGGACGAGAACTGGATGGGGCGGTCAGCCTCGTCCTCCTCGTCGCCCTCGGTGGCGCGCGGCGACCGCGGGGTTCGGGAAACCCAGCGCACGAACCTCGCCGCCCGGACGGCCCTGGAACAGAGACAGCCGTGAGCGCGCCCGCCGCCCGCCCCCGCCCCCGGCGCCCCCAACGAGCCGCCCCGCTCACCCGGCTGCCGGCGCGCACAGGACGCCGCTCATCGCGACCCGGCCTCCGCACTCCGCGGCGCGGCCCGCTTGCGTCACTTCCGACGAGCGAAACCGGAAACCGGACGCCGTTCGAGGCCTCGGTTCACGACTCCCGAACGTGGGCCCCCTCGCGCGGCGGAAATGACGCGCGCTCTCAGGCGGCCTCTTCCGTCGCAGCCGGCCGTCCCAGGTTGGCCGCTAGGGCATGCCGGGAAATGTAGTTCGCCCGCTGGCCGGCGGGGACGGAGCCTTGCGGTGCCCGGGTGCTGGGTCCGGCTGCAGCGAGGTCGCGGGCGCCACATGCACCCCGGAGTCCCGTGCCGCTGCGGAACGGCGTCCAGGCGCAGTGCTCCACCTCGGGCCGGCCCCGGGCTGCAGCAGGCTCATGCACGGTCGGGGGGGGGGGCGGGGACCGTGGCCGCGGGCTGTCCCGGGGCTCCCGCTCTGCCCCGAGGGGGGCTGCTGAAGCTCTCGTCCTCGGAGCACACCCGCCTTGGCTCTGCTGCACTTTCCTGGCGGAAGACCCCCGGGGCGTCCGGGCATCGTCACGGTCGTGCAGGGGGTGCCTCAGTGTCCCCAGCAGATTCGCTGCGTCCGCACGCGGCATCCGTGCCCCCGGAGCTCCCCTTTCCTGCACTTGCGCCCGGGCCCCGCCCCCACCCGGGGACAGCCCGGACTGTGGGGCCAGGGTGGCGGCTGGAGATGTTCCCAGCTCAGCAACATCTGGGAGGCCCCCGCACGCCGGAACGGCCCCTCCTGCCCCCGGCAGCTCCGCTCCCAGCCCAGGACCGTGTTGGAGCTGCTGTGTCAACAGAGGCACCTGTGTGCCGGGTCCCCCTCCCTGGGCCCCACCCCACCTGTTCCACCCCGGCGGCGCAGCCTTGCCAGAGAGAGCAGCCCACGATAAGAAGAAAATCGAGAGTTTGATCCGGATCCGAGTTAGGAGAGCTGCCTGGAAGCGGACCTTCGGGGGGAGGAAGTGCGCTGCACAGTGAACTGTCTGCACGAGTCCTGTGCAGGTTTAGATCTTGTAAAAGCTCCGAAGGTTGCAGGTTAGGGTATAGGCGAGAGCTGTGGTGTTAACACTGAGGGATGCGGCCCCTCGGTCACAGAGCACACGTGTGACACAGGTGTGGGCAGGCGTCCTGACTGGGGAGGGCCTCTAAGGTAGCTCCCCGCGCGCATCAGGTCTTTATAGGGACCTCCTCTCTCTCCTCGGCCTCAGAAGCCCACCTGCAATCACCGCCGAGCCAAGTGGCACCCAGGAAAGCCGGGCTCCCTGCCGGGGGGACTCGGACTATGGCAGGAAGGGCCAGCGGGGAAGTCAGTGCTCGGAGGGTGCACGGAGTGGGAGGAGGGAAGGATGGGTGACAAGACCTGGGACAGGTGACCTAGCCTCTTGAGCCTGCGTGTCCGCAGGTGTGGCTGGCCTGCCGGGTGCTCCCCGGGCATGCTGGTCCCCGTACCATGGGGGATGGGACGGCCTGGAGGAGGCGGAGCCCCCCCCCCCCCCCCCCCCGCCCCCGACTGCCGCGGGCCCTCAGGGCACCCTGGCTAGGGTCTGGGAGGAGTGGGTGGGGCATGCTCACAGTCCAGAGCCAGCAAATCCTGGGGCAGCCACGGGACTGTGGGTCAAGCTCTTGGTGAGCAGGGAATGCACCTGAGATTCCCTCTCCCTGTCCCTCTGCCCCCCTTGCCGCGCATGTGCACGTGTGCACTCTCTCAAGTACATGAATCTTAACAAGGGGGACCCTGGGGGGAATCAGGTGGTGATCCCGGGGTCCTGGGATGGACTCCCCAGTGGGCTCCCTGCTCCATGGGGAGCCTGCCACCCCCCCCATTCCCTCTGCTGCTCCCCCTGCTTGTGGTCTCTTTGTCAAATAAATGAAAAATAAATCTAAAATCTTAAAAAAAAAAAAAAGCAAATCCATGTGTCCAAATGACCCCTCCTCTGTCCCCAGTTGCTGCTGCCCCTTGGCCTCAGCGGTGGGTGAAAGCACTATGCGAGAGACAGGTCCTGTAGCATCTTTCTTTTTTTTTTTAAAGATTTTATTTACCTGAAAGAAAGAGCGCAAGGGGGTGGGGGTGGGGGGAGAAATAGAGTCCATGCTGAGCTGGGGCTGGCCGCGGGCCCTCCTGTGAGATGGAAGCGGCCTGCGAGGACAGCAGTGCACTGGGCCACCGCGGGGCCACAGAGGCTCGCGACAGAGCCGACTGTTCAGACTGTTCCGTAGCCGCCTCTGAACCCACAGGGTGCAGACAAGCCCAGACTCCAGATGCACCCAGCAGCTCCGCCTGTGCTGGCCAATGGGAGGGACGCCGACCCCCCCCTCCCCCACACCAGTCTGGAGCCTCCTTCCGGGTGGGACGCGGGACACTGCAGATTGCTGTACCAGGCTGAGCTCTGTGCCCCAAATTCACGCTCACTTGGAGCCTCAGCACACGACTTTATTTGGAAATAGGGTCTCTGCAGGGGAAAGTCAAAGGAGGTCCCCGGGGCCAGGCAGGCCCAGACCAGGGACTGCTGTCCTCCGAAGAGGAGGAGAGACACGACACACGTGGGGGAGGCCACGACCAGCAGGCAGAGACGTGCCCGGGAGCAGCTGGGATCGCCGGCCACCCCAAGGCGGGCAGAAAGGCCTGGAATGGAGTGGAGCCTCCCTGGGCCTGTGGAGGGTGGCCTGCCCACACCCTCACCTCGGACCTGGCCCCCGACGGAGCAGTGCTTCCCACTGTGGAAAATGCCCGGTGCGGGTGCTCCGTGGCGGTGGCCCGGGACTCCGGTGCAGGCAGCAAGCAGCCCAGGCCGGAGCCCCTCGGCCGACACCCTGCTCCTGAGGCGCCCCCGGCAGGTGCTGGGTGACAGGTGCCCCCGGCCGCCAGCGCCACCCGCAGCCTGCACCCCCACCCCCCCACCCCAGAGCCGAGCCAACACCTCGACCTTCATTATCTCAAAGCACACAGATGAACCTCTCTGGGGTGTAATGCCTCGCTGACAGGCGGGGAGGGCCCAGCCTTGGCGTGCCCAGTGCCAGGACTGGTTGGCGGTAGTGCCACCTGAGAGCTGACATATTGGGGCTATTGATTTTCCCCCAGGAAGATCAATACGGGGGTGTGGGGACGGGCAGGTCCAGGCCTTAGGAAGAGCAGAGCGTTTTCCCCGGCGACCAAAACCTGACAACAGGGCTGGGGGCAGGGGAGCCCCAGAGGGCTTGGCACCGCCCACAGCGGAGCTGGCCGGGAGCAGGTTCCGGGGCCTGTGTGGGGCGCAGCCTGGCAGCCCAAGGGCCTCAGTCTCCCCAGCCCCACTGCAGGGGTCCCAGCGGGCCGCAGGAGGCTCGGGATGCCCGCGTCCCTTGGCCTGGCCCCGGCCCCCAGCACCCGACTGGACCTGTAAGGGCAGTGATTCTGGGAAAGTGCGTCTCTCCAGGAACCCAGGGTCCCCTCAGGCCGTCGTACCCCAACCGAGCCCCGTCAGTGACAAAAGCCAGAGTTCAGCCTCCTGCTGGACTCCTTCCTGGGCTCGCCTTGAACGCAGCTTGGGCTCAGGAGGGGCCAGGGTGGGGACGATTCACTGACGCCCCGGCTGAGACCTCACATCTGCTGCTTCGATCCCTCTCATGCCCGTCTCCCTCTTTTACTCCCTCAGGCTGTGCTTTGTGGCCGATCACTGACGACTGGGACTAGTGCAGTAGCACCCTGCCTGGTCTCCAGGCTCAGGCCTCCTTCGTCCAGACGCCCACCCTGCACTGCGCTGCCCACGTTCCTCTTCCTAAACCTTTATCTGCTCTGGTGTGTCCCCTACTCTAAAATTCTCTGTCCCAGGGACACCTGGGCAGCTCAGCAGTTGAACATCTGTCTTCAGCTCAGGGTGTGACCCCGGGGTCCCAGGATCGAGTCCCACGTCGGCCTCCTGCATGGAGCCTGCTTCTCGCTCTGCTTGTGTCTTTGCCCCTCTCTGTGTGTCTCTCATGAATGAATAAATAAAATCTTTAAAACAAAACAAGAGTTCCTTGTCCTAGGCTGGGGTTTCCTACTTGGTCTCTGGTCAGGCAGAAAAAAGCACCAAGATTGTGCCCGCAGGATCGGACCGGGCCTGGCTCTCTGAGGCCAGTCTTCCCGTGGCTGCGCCAGGGCAGGTCCCCAGGGCAGGTCCCCTCGACCGTGGGCCTGCGGCAGAGGCCAGGATGGAGGCGGCCTGGGGGCACAGGTGACACGGGCCCTTGGGAATGGCGAGCCCTCTCGGAGAGAGCCCCATCCTCACCTGGAGATTCGCCTGAGCCCCAGGGGCACAGGTGCATGGCCGGGCTGCCCGGGCTCCCGCGGCTGCAGGAAGGACCAACCCACAGCCCCTTGCATGGCCACCTGGCCCCACATTGCAGCAGACGCTTGGCGCTGGGGGTGTCTGGCGGCTGCTGAGCCCAGGCGGAGGGCTTGGACCAACCCCGGCGTGCCACACAGCCCCAGCCGCTGTGCCCGGGCCTGCGGTGGCGATGGCAGCCTTTGCTGCACGAAGTGGCATGTCCACCGTCCCTGGGGACTGGAGTGAGGACATGTGCGGGGCCTCAGGCGCAGGGGTGCCAGCTCCTGGTGGGCTGGGCCGTTCCCTGCATGCCAGCAGACCAGCCAAGCACAGGAGGAAGCACCTCCGCCGGTCCCACAGGAGGGGACGTTCTCCAGGGCAGGGCCGCGTCTCACCTTAGAGCCCCCGCGCTGTCCGGCCGGGCAGGGCCTCCACGAGGGCTGGAGCCCCCGCCCAGATGGTGCCCCGGGGTCCCTGCGGCCTTCCCTGGGCAGCCGAACCAATGGCACCAACACCCAAGGGCCCACCCCCACCTGGCCTGGCCCTTCCAGAGGAGCAGCAAGGGTGCTGGGGTCCTGGGCTGTCCCCACAGGGCTGATGCAGGGCTGAGCCGGGCCAGAGGGGAACAACACCCCATGGCCAGTGCCACAGGATCGTCGAGCCCTGTGTCTCGGGGCAGAACTGAGGCGGCCCCGAGGCCAGGTTCTGGGCCCCAAGGTGCACACATGGCCCGGACCCTAGGGTGGATGACTGGAGTCCCGGCCTCACCCCGGGACACGGGGAAGGAGCCGTGATGACCAGCGGGCCGTGACCTACAGGCTGCAGCGAGGCCCAGTGAGCCACACAACCCCTGGGTCTCCCTGTGTGAGCCCTGCGCCAGGTAGACCACCGGGTGTCAGACCCCAACAGCTTCAAGGACCCACCATGGCAAGTCACCAGCCTGGCCCAGGTGGGTCCCTTGCCTGGGGGTAGACGCTCCTCTTCCCTGTCACATCCCCAAAGCTGGGCGTCCCAACTCTGAGCTCCTGCACTGGGCCCTCCAAGCACCCCGTGTGTATCGGGGTGTCACCAGGTGGGAGGGAAGCTGTCTCCTGTCTGAAGGGCCCAGGCAGGGCTGGGGGGGCAGCCCTGGAAGGGGGAGGCCGTCGCTGGAGGGGAGATGGGGCACCGGGGCATGCCAGTGGTGGGGGGCTGCCGTCCTGGCCGCGGATCCCGGGCGGCCCTCCAGCAGCCGCCACTTGAGCCTCAGAGGCCAGGACTCAGGCGCCGGGCGGGCTGCTAGGGGGGTGCGAGGCACCTCGCAGAGGCCACGTCCGGTGAAGGGCTGTCCCCCCAGACTTATGTCCACCTGAACCTCGGAATGGAATGTCACATAGGGACTTTGCTGCTGAGATGACCCGGGTGGGCCCAGACTCACGCGGGCGATGGCCGTGCGCCGACGCAGGCGAAGGCTGCAGTGATGGAGCTGCAGCCCCGCTCCCTGCCCGGACCAGGCCCCCGGGGTCCCGCGGAAGGTGGTGAGCGGCAGGAGGGGGTGCAGCGGTGCGGGCCGCAAGGCCCAGGGAAGGAGACTGGGGGCCAGCTTGGACCTCGGGGGCGAAGCCTGTGTGGGGGAGCAGAGGCCACAACACCCCTGCAGCTCTGGATGGGGGGAGCGACAGGAGGCTGGATGCGGGGTGGTCAGTGGTGTGGGGTCTTCCTTACAGCCACGCCTGGGGCAGGGTGGGCCGCAGCACCTGGGGGGACCTGGTGCTGGGAGGGCCCCTGGGGGAGGCCTCCCTTCCCAGGCCGGCATGGAGCACTGTTTACCCAGAGAACTGCGGAAGCAGGATGTCCTCTAGAGAAGGCTACTCCAGAAGTCAAAATAGCATGAAATTTAATTTTCCGCCTATTTGACAAGGCTTGGTCTGAGTCCCCATCAGCGGCTGAGATAAGGGTCCTCGGCCCCGGGTGTGAGCCAGCTGGACCTGCAGCAGACACTCTACGGTCCCCGGGCAGGTTGGGGCTCCCCCCGCAGGGCCCTGGTTGCTGGGCGCTAAAGCAAACGGGCTCTATTTGCCCAGTCTGCGATGACAATGCCGTCACCAAATATTTGCCAGGCCGGCCGGTCGCAGAGCCCGGCTATAAATGCTTGGGCCCAGGTGGAGGTGGGCCTGCCCCGCAGGAGCTGCAGGCCTCAGCAGGTAGGAGCCGGCCTGGGCCGTGGCCAGGAGGGCGCTGGCACTGGCCACAGGGGTTCCTCCCCCACCCCTCCCCTCCTGGGAAAGCCGGGGCCTCCTGGCCAGGTAAGCTGTGCGGATCCCCCCAGGACGGCCACCCGTGGAGCTGGGGGTACGCATAAGGCAAGGGGCGGGGCTGGGGAGGGAGGGAGCCAGAGGCTGGGGTACGCCCCCCCTCCCCCACAGGGAATGGCGGGAGGGGGCCCTGCCCTCCCCAGGTTGCCTGACTCTGAGCAACGCCGGGACTCGCCCAGCCTCCCTGGGGTGGGGGTTCTGACAAGCTGGGAACCCCCTCTCCCTCTCCTCAGAGCCCTACCTTTCTTCCCTTCCTGCCAATGGGGGCATCCTGGCTGCGAGCTGCCCCGGCACCCGTCCCCAGGAGCCACAGTCACCTCCCCCAGGTGCCACCCCGCCCACCTCGCCCTGGCTGAGCCGCAGACCCACACACCCTCCCTGCATCCCGCCACCCCCCAAGCCCCGGGATCCCGGGTTTCTTTCACCCGCCCGGGCAGGGAGGGCAGGAAGCCTGGGGCTGGCACTGCCTTCACTACGCCCCGCGGCCCTGAGCCTATCCCCGACTCCCGAGGCCTCCAAGGCCACCAAGGCTCTGGGCCCTGGACCTAGTGCCCTGGTGGAGGCAGTCAGGCTCGGCTCCCAGGGGCCGCCTCAGGGGGCAGGCCCCTGGATGCAGAACCATCCCTGCACCCCTCTGGCGCCCGCCCCCCAACATCTCTCCAAACCTGAACCCCGGGGCTTCTGAACACGGCGCCATCCAAGCGCAGGGGGGAGCGACAGCTAACCTGCCCCCATTCGCCTCCTCCGCAGCCGCACCTGCTGCCCCCGGAGCTCAGGCTAAGGAGATGGCCGCAGGTGTGATCCGGCCTCTCTGTGACTTCCAGCTGACCCTGTCCACCCGCCGGCCCTTCCTGCCCCCAGACCCTGAGCCCCAGGGCCCTTCTGAGGACGAGGAAGAGGAGGAGGAGGAGGAGGAGGAGGAGCAGCCGCAGGCAGAGGGGCTGGGGGGCCGCAGCCCGGCACTCCAGGCCTCGGCGTGGGCCCCCGAAGCAGCCCCTCCAGGGCCCAGCAGCCCCGAGACGCCCCTGCAGCTGCTGCGCTTCTCTGAGCTCATCAGTGGCGACATCCAGCGGTACTTCGGCCGCAAGGACAGGGGGCAGGACCCGGACGCCTGCGACATCTATGCGGACGACAGCTCGGCCCGGGACCCCCAGGGTGCTGACGTGGCACGCCTGGCCCCCGGGGGGGCCCCAGACGGCGATGAGGCCGCGGAGCCCGGGGTCCTGTCCCCCAGGGGTCCCGAGGGGTGTGCGCGCGGGCTGGGGCCCCTGGCTGAGCTCTTCGACTACGGGCTGCGGCAGTACCCAGGGCCCGGGGCACCCGGCCGGCGGCTCAGGCTGGAGCGCAAGTATGGCCACATCGTCCCCATGACCCAGAGGAAGCTGCCTCTGTCCTTCTGGGAGGAGCCGGCCCCCAGTCCCCTGGGCCTGCTCCACCCCGGCACCCCCGACTTCAGCGACCTGCTGGCCAGCTGGGCAGTGGAGACGGGCCCCGAGTTGCCCGGGGGAGGGGCCCCGGCCCTGGACGGTGCGCAGCTGGCCGAGGCCTAGCAAGTGGGCCGGGCTCCGTGGGGCATGTGGGGGCGGCACATGTCGCCTTCCCTAAGGTGCGCGGACTGTCACTGCTCTCTCTGGAGCCACAGGGCCTTGCGACCACGCTGGCTGCCAGCAGGACAAGTCAGCTCAGGTAGGGGGCCTCCTGGGCCATCCAGGGCCTGGAGCTGCCACCACCACAGGCCGCCCGGGCAGGGAAGGGGCAGGAGCTGCAGTCCCAGGCCCCCCGGCCCTTAGCCCTCGGAGCTCTGCCCCCAGGAGGGGAGGACCGGGCAGGAGCCCCGCCCCCCAGAAGCTGTGGGCTCAGGGGGTCTACACGCCGGTGCTCTGTGCAAGGCCCACGCGCCCCCCAGAGCAGCCCCGAGGTCCCAGGTGGGCAGCAAAGCTCTCCCCGCTGCCTGCCCCCCTGGCTGGTCCTAGGGCGGCCCCTCCTCCAGGCCCCGCGGCAGGTGGCAAGGCCAGCTCCTGTGGGATGAGCAAGGCTTTTCTTGGAGGCAGGAACAGGGGTGCTGCCTGAGTGTGTGAGCAAACACGCTGTTTGCTCCCTAGATTAGGGCAGGAAGAGCCACTTCCTCTGCTGGCCACCGTGCAGGTGTGAAGGGCACAGCTGGCGGCCCAGAGCCAGGGGCCGAGGGACCCTGAGCCTGTGCCTGCTGGCCCTCCAGGGGGCTGCATGGAGTGGGTGGGGCCCTGAGACACCGAGGCCTGGGCAGGACGGCCTGCGGCTGGGCAGGGCCCGGCCAGGCGGGAGCTGCGGGACGCTGGGCGTGTGTCCCTAAGCCCTGGGTGCGAGCTCGGCACTCTGACAGGTACAAGAGCTGGCACATTTATTTCTGAGAAAGGGGCAAGGCTGTGAGCCAGCGGGCAGGCCCCCAGCCGAGGGGCTTCTGTGGGAACGTGCTCGGCCTCCGCGGGGCCACCAGGCTCATGAGGACCGCCTTCCACTGAAGCCACCTGCCCGGAGACGCAGCTCAGGCCCACCGGCCTGGGGGCCTCCCCAGCCCCGCCCCAGGCCCGGAGGGGTCCCCGGAAGGTGGCTGCCCACTGCACCCCTGCCCACCTCACGGTCTGATACACGCCCCAGCGGTTCATGGAGACCGCCTCTCCCAGGGCCGAGTCCTTGATGAAGAACTGCTGCCTCCCCAGGGACACAAGGACCCTCCTGCTGCCCAGCGTCAGGGCCCACGGACCCTCGTCACTCTGCAGGCGCAGGACGCTCTCCCGCAGACTGGCCATCTCCTCCATGCGCTGAGGACAAGGGCCCGTGAGGAGCGGCCCGCGCAGGAATGCAGGAATCTGGCCGGATGGGACAGGATGGGACAGGACAGGGTGGGATGGGACGGGGCAGGACGGGGCGGCCAGCAAGATTTCTCTCTCCAGAAAAACCAGGCTCTTATCTAGCAGGAGACCCTGCTGGGGCCGGAGGCGCAGACACAGGGACGTGGGGAAGCCCAGAAGTGAGCCGGCAGGGGTGAGGGGCCGGGAGCCTCCTGGGGCCTCGGGGTGGGGTGGACTCAGGGCTCCTCTCACCAGTCTGGTTTCTGTATTAAACTTGAGGTTCTGGATGGTTCTGTTGTCCTGGATGCTGGTCTCCAGTTTCATTATTTGGTTCTGAAACTAAAGGCAGCCTGCTGTGTGTTGACCCAGATGCGGCAAGTCTGCCCGCCGGTCAACGGCCCCCGCCCAGTCACTGGGGGCAAAAGCCAGCCTCTAACACGTGTCCCTGGCCCCCTGGTGGGGACCAGGGGCCTGGCCAGTGCTCAGGCCAGCTCCTGTCCTGTGACTGCCCACCCCCAGCATTTGGGGGCCGCAGGCCAGGCAGGTACCCCCACTTCATGCCGGCTCTGTGAGCCCCTCAACCTCGGGTGTCTGGGGCCCCCAGGAACCCCAGTGCTGGGGGTGACGGGCACAGGGGCTCCAGGGGTACCGTGGCCAGCTGGCCCTGGATCTCGGCGATCTTCCGCCCGGGGTTTCCCTCCTTGAGCAGCTGCACAGATGAGAGCACCGCAGCCAGCTCCTGCCGCACGGCCTCGACCTCGAACTCTCTGTGGGAAGAGGAGGCTCTGCGTGGGTGCAGCCAGTGGGGAGGAGGGCAGGCCTGCAGGGGTACAGGCTCAGTGTGGCCTCCTCTGCAGGGGGACCTGGCGGTCCCCAGCGGGGGACAGAGCGCAAAGCTCAGGGGTCTGTGTGGGCTGTACCTGGTGGGGGGTCCCAGGGCTGGGGTGCAGCAGGCCGTGAGCCCAGCAGAGCTCGCTGCAGCCCCGCAGGCCGGGGCCACGAGCTGGGGCCTCACCTGGCTTTGCCCTCAGCCGAGATCCTGAGGTCTGAGTCACTCTTGCGCAGGACACACTTGTCGGAGACAGCCTCTATCTGCAACAGACGCAGAGTGGGCGGGCGGCCCGGGGGCGGAGCAGGGCTGAGGGACCGCGGCCCTGGCCCTCACCCACCTGCCGGGGCAGGCTGTCCACTCGCTCCCACACCTCCCTCAGACGCGCCTCGGCCTCCTTCCGACACTGGACCAGGCCTTCCAGGGATTTCTGCTCCAAGCCTTCCCACTCCCTCTTGGCCTGGAACACAGACCCCAGTGAGGACCGAAGCTGGGGGCCGGAGGGGTGCCGACAGGTGGATGGGGCCTCCTGGAGCCAGAGTTGGACCCAGCAGGGTGGAACCTGTGCAGCCGAGCGCTCCACACGGTCTGGGCAGGATGCTGGGGCAGCGCGGCCAGCTGCTCTCTAGGGACCTGGCTGCTCCGGGCAGCACCACCAGGCTGAGCAGAACGACATCTGTGAGGCCTGGCTTGGCCCCCGCCACCCAGAGTCAGCAGCGACTGGGACCGCCAGCCCGCCCGCGGCCGCAGGAGAGGGGCCTCGGGGAGGCCGGGGGCACCCGCTCCAAGGTCATAGTGGACATGCGTGCGCAGCAGCACGTCCTGTGTTGCCCAGCAAGGTGACGACTCAGAGTCTGTCAGCTGACGAACAGACAAACTGGTCGCACACTGTCTGGAAACCCTTGTAGGAAACATCCAGAATAGGCAAATCCACAGAAGCAGGAGGCAGAGCAGTGGGCAGCGGGGGCCGCGGGGTGGGCTGTGCCCACAGGCCACATTGGACTTCCCGTGCGGCACCAGAGATGGGCAAGGGACACGGCGGGCAGTGGTGCAGCCTGAGCTCATGCAGAGCCACCGAGCCCCACGCTTCAAGGGTGGATGCTCAGGCGCGGGGACTCCGGGTCAACGACACGGTAACAAGGAGGGGAAAGAGGCCGAGGGCAGGGCTACCTTGCCGGCCACCCCACCCCCCGGCTCCGCGTGCACCTCGCTCAGCCGCAGCCTAAACATCTGTTCCTGCAGGTCCAGCCTCCAGCTCAAGGCCACGAAGTGGTCACTCAGGTCCTTCACCTGCTTCCCCAGCTCGGCCAGGGACTCCTCCAGGGCCCGGCTCTTTTCTCGGAGCTGCAGGGGAGGTGGGGATGGGCTGAGTGTGGCCGCCTGGGGAGGGGGCACCCCACAGGGAGACTGACCCGGCCCCACACCTCACCAGCTGCAGCGCGCCGTGTGCCTCCTGCTGGGCCAGCTCGCCAGCCAGCTGCACGGCCGCCAGGCTCTCCTGCACGTAGGCAGCCAGCTCCCCGGCCCGGCTCTCCTCCGCCTGCCCCTTGCTGTCCCTGCAGGTCGGTGCCGAGATGGACTGTCCCTCAGCTGAGGCTGTCCCCTCGCAGGCGGGGCCAAGGATGGGGCCTGACAGCTGGCTCCAGACCGTCCAGGGGACCCCAGGGAGCAGAGGGTCGTGCAGGCTCCCCCGCAGGGGAACAGGAGGTCCCCCAGGGGCCGTGCTGCCTCGGGACTGGGCGAGGAGGCCGGTCTCAGGGGAGAAAGGGGCCTTGGACACGCACCAGGCCTCCTGCTCGGCCAGGAGGATGCGGTTCAGTGACACCTGGTTCTGGTGCACAAACTTGGTCAGCTGGGTCACGGCCTGGTCCAGGTCCCGGCACTGTTCCAGCAGGCGGCACTCTTCCTGCTGCTGGGCAGGGGTGGCCCTGAGCCCGCGGGGCCCCCAGCCGCCCCCTGGAATCCTCGCACTGCCCCCGCGGGGCCCCGAGCTGCCCACCTCCTGCTGCCCCTGCAGGGCCTGTGCACGCTCCTCCGCCAGGTCCTGCAGCCTCTGCCACCTGCTGTCCAGCTCCCCCCGCAGGCTGCTCTCCGCCTTCAGCCGGGTGCTCTCTGAGGCCTTCATTCTCTGTGGGGAGACGGGCCCGCGTGGTGAGCAGGGGCGTGGGGGGCACGGTACAGCCGCAGGCCCGCGGGCCCCCACCTTCTCCAGGGCCAGGAAGCTCTTCTGCAGGAAGCCGCACAGCTTGGACTCCCTTTTCAGGAAACGGAGGCTCATCTCCTCACCGAGCTTGGTCACCTGGGCCTGTGGGAGGTCAGCACAGTCGCCATGTGGTCTGATTGTCCTCGTCTGTCCCCTGCCGGCCCGCCCCCAGCGCCCGTGCCATCCGGGACTTGTTTTCTTGCCCAACCACGTCTGTCACAGAGGGCCCTGGGTGCTGTGTCCCCCGCGGCCCCTGATCCGAGCAGAGCTGGGCCCACCACACCCTCCCCAGGGCGGAAAGCAGGCAAGGCCAGGGCCACACGTCCCCCCAGAGGGCCAGGCCAAGGTCATGTGGGGCCCGGATACACCTGGTGCTCACACGGACCGCCAGATGTCACCTGCGGAGGGGGTCACAGCAGCCTGAGCCGGGAGCCTCAGTCGGGGAAGCTGAGTGAACATGAGGGCACGCATAGGCACACACCATGCCCTCGCGCTCCAGGACCAGAACGGGCCCCTCTCTCCTCCCCGCCTGCCCCCTTCCAGCTGCATCAAGGGTCCGAGTGTGCCAGAGATGAGGAGTGAAGGCCGGCGGACCCGCTCACATGGCTGCAGGGCAGGGGCACCCCGAGGCCCCACCAGCCTGGCACCCCATGCAGGGTGGTCTGCAGGAAGCAGGGGGGTGGCAAGCTGTCTCTGTGATGAGCCCAGGGGCAGATGTTTTAAGTTTATGGGATGTGGGGTCTGTGTCACAGTTCCTGGGCTCTGTGCTTACGCTGCCAAAGCAGGAGTGGACGTGAGTAGGGGTGGCCACGTGCCAATAAAACTTTATGAAAACAGGTGATGGCCACCGTTTGCTGACCTGGGCCTGGAGGGCACGTGGGGAAGAGGCAAGCTCTCCACGTGCATCCTGGTGCGCCAGGAATCCCCAGGCCCAGTGCCTCCTGGAGCTCCAGGCCGCGGCGGTGGGCAATACCTCAAGGGAGCCAAGGCATGAGCTTCCCGACGGGCACCGGGAAGGGGGAGGCCATGGGAGCCAGGCAGCCGAGCTATGTGGGCAGCAGCTGGGCAGCACGGCCAGCGCCCCCACCCTCTGTGTGTGTACCGCGGTCCCTGGCCTCTGTTTGCAGAGCAGTGGGGGCTGCGTCTGGAGGCTGCCTCCCGTCCCCTGCCCTGCCTGCTGGGGTCTCACACAGGAGGGGAACCTGCAGCGGCCCAGGGGCCGGGCCAGCCCCCAGAGCGACTGACGAAGGGGCTTCAGGGTTACGCTGTTCTATTTCCTGATCTGAGTGCTGGTCACAGGACGGGGACAAGGACCTGTGGTGGAGATGCTGCCAATGGGGGAGCTCCCAGGATAAAAGACGAGCTCCGTCTTGGTGCTGCCCCAGTTGGCGCGGCCGCTGGGTGCCTGAAGTGTGGCTTCTGTGACCGAGAGGCCTCAAACCTCAGCTGATTACCAGACAGGGCCACTCGTGGCTGGGGGCCTCGTGCTGGACCACACAAGACCTCGGGGTCACCCCTGGGTCCCATGCCGTGGGCGGGGCGGGGGCGCTCGCTGGCCTGGCTGCCCAGATGCCAGAGCCCTGCTGGCCCCCCCGGTACCTGCATCCTGGCCACCTCATGGTCCACCCTCTTGCTGGCCTCGTCCTGGCTCTTCTGCAGGGCGCTGCAGGCCGCTTCCCGCAACTGCTCCTCTTGCTCCAGCTTCCCAGCCAGCTCGGCCCACCTAGGACAACGGCGGCAGGTCACATCAGTGCGGCCGGCCAGGGGGCCCGGCTGGGGAGCAGCAGGGAGGGTGGCGGGGATGTCAGCCACTGGAGTTCTTCCCAGGCCCGGGCCCACCCACAGGCCAGCTAGGCAGGAGGCCCCCACAAGGAGGTGGGAGCGGACAGGGGTGGGGACCCTGGGCTGCAGCCTCTTCCTCAGTGTCCACGGCAGGGGGGTCTGAGCCCTCCACCTTGTCCACCAGCCGCCCAGCGCCAAGGGCGAGGGGACGCCTTCCCCGCGGACTCCCACCCGCCGAGCGCACATGCAGGGCCCAGAGCCAGCCCCCCCGAGGGAGGCGGGCGGCGCCCACCTGAGGCTGGCCTCCTGCTCCGCGTCCTTCCGCTCAGAGTCCTGGAGCACCTGCTTCCTCCTGATCTGAGTCAGCGCCTCCCGGACCTCCACCAGCCTGGCACACAAGAGCTGCTGCCGCCTGGGGCCTGCCCTGGGGCTGCCCTCGGTGCTCAGGTGCCCAGGGGCGCTGCTGGCAGCTCCCACCGCGGTCCACACCCACACCGTTCCAAGCGGGGCCCCGGCTGCACTCTTGAGCGAGAGCACTAGCAGGGGGCAGGCTGGTGCCCTGCTGTCCCGCGCGGCCACTGCTTTCCCGCGACCCCCACTAAGGCCTGCGCCACTGGTGGCGGGGGGGAGGTACCTCTTGTCCAGGGTCTGCATGTGGTTCTGGTTCTGGTTCTGGGCACCAGGGCACTGTGAGGGAGGCAGTGGGGCGGAGACTCGCAGCCCAGCCAGCACAGACCAGCCCCGGGCCTGGAGCCGGGGAGCCCGGGCATGCACGGCGCCAGCTCACCTCCAGGGCCTCCTTGTCGGGCGCCTGGGCCGCCTGCTGCACGTCCTGCTGCAGCCTCTTGAGCTCTGCGTCCTGCAGCTGCCCGCAGGCCCGCAGCTGGAGCATCTCCCGGAGCAGGCTCAGCATGGCTCGCTCGCAGCGGTCCTTGTGTCCCCGCAGGGACGCCACCTCCGCCTGCAGGTCGGCCACCCTGCCGGGGTGAGGAGCAGGCTGCGTCGGGCTCGCGTGCTAGGGGGTAGGGGGATTGGGGGGTGATGCGGCTCCTCCCCCCGCCGAGGCTCACCACTGCTCCAGCTGCCTCCAGTGCCCAGGCGAGTCCCGCTCCGGGACGGAGGTGGCGGATGCCAGGTGGCTGGACTCATAGTTCTCGGAGATCTCCTCCAGGCTCAGGAGCTCGGGGCTGGCCAGTCCTTCCTCCGGGGGGAGCCCCGGGTCCCCCAGGGTGACAGTATTCGTTTGGGAAAGGGGTGAAACCCCCGACGAGGGGTTGCTAGCAGCCAGCTCCGCAAGAAGGTGCCTCCGGGCTGCTGGAGGGGGCTGGCTCCCGGTGGAGCTTAGGGCACAGGGACCCCAATCACTGTGGTGACCGAGCGTGTGCACCAGGCTCACCCTGGCCCATCCGGCGGAGTCACAAAGCCTGGTCCCCGGAGAGCTCGGCTCCGGCTGCCCGACCCCAGGGAATGCAGCTCAGAGGCCCCAACCCCGGCCTGAGGACACGCAGCACCCACACGCAGTAGTAGGACAGCGTCCTGCCTGCCCAGCCTGAGGAGGCCCCTGGGCACCAAGGACGCCCCGCGGCCCACACCCCTGCACGGGTCCCTCCCTACACTGTCTTCCTGGCCCCACCTCTGTGGCCCAGGCTCACCTACACGGCATCAGCCACTGCCCAGAGGCCCTGGACCTGGATCCCTGGACTGCCCAGAGCTGGACACCAGGGCGGCTGGGAGGCTCCAGGCCTGGGGTAGCACATGGGGCGGGGGTGAAGAGGGAGCACGTTCCCTCACAGCTCTCCTCTAGACAACAGCGAGGTGGGCAGGGCAGCCAGGCGGCAGCGGCTCTTCTGGACCCAGTGTTTCCTCACCAGAACCTTCTGACTTTAGGGCCCAACTGCCAGTGGAACCTGGGCCCTCGACACTCCTGGCCTTGCAAGGTCTTCCCAACTGCCCGTTTCTGGAAAGGTCTGAGGGGGCGCCACTGAGTGGCCCGGGCGGGAGGGGCCCGCATGGAAAGGGGGGGATGGCAGCCAGGGCGCACCGGAGCAGAGGAGCGGGAGAGGGGTGCAGGCCGCAAGCCAGGCTGCGCGGGGCCTCCAGGGGCCTTGTGGCCACAGTAAGAAAGCAAACAGAGGCGGGCGCGAGTTTCCATAGTGTTTTATTTGACCCAACTGGGGAACACGAGGCTGGTTTAACGCGTGATCAACACAAGCCGCGACGTCCCGCTCTCTGGCACCAGGTCTTGGAAGCCAGCCCGGTGCTTCCCGGTGTGCGTCAGGCCAGTGTGGACCCATGCCCCCCGCGCCTGGCCATCCAGGCCTGCCCGCTGGGGGGCTCCCTGAGGCTTCCCCAGGACCTCGTCCGGGGGTCCTCCCGGAGCCACCACGACAGGGCCCGGCCCGTGGCCACATCACACTTCTCACAGCCCAGAGCGGCGTCCAGATCGAGGGCCCCGGGGAGGACCCTGTCCCTGTGAGCCCTACAGCTGCCCAGGGACCAGCGCCAGCATGTCCCACAGGTGTGCATCGGCCACAACTGCTTCCTCGCATGGGTCTCTGGGCCTCTTGCCTTTGTCCCCGTCCAGTGGGGTCAAGGCAGCCCTGTCCCAGATGCCCCCCGCTCGGTGGCCCTGCAAACCCCTGACTGCTGGACCGTGGCCCGTGCTGGGCAGGAACCAGGGAGCCAGCGCTGGCCATCAGGGTACGATTCCTTTATTTCTTTCTTCCAGAGCCCCGCCATGCTCATTTCCCTGCATCCCCCAGAGAGCTCCTGCCAGGAAGGGAAGGCTTGTGGCCCCCCTCCCTTGAAAGAGGCCCAAACCAAGGTGAACTGCCCCCAACCCCCGGGCTGCCATAATAGCACCCAAGTAGCCTTGTCTGAGTTGGCCAGGAATCACCTCCAGAAAAGGTCCCCTGGGGCCCTGGGGACACAGGACACCAGATCCAGCCCCACCTGGCCAGGGAAGGGCACAGTATCACTGCTCAGGCTCACCAGCCCATCCCAGAGCCCGCCTGCCCCGGGACCAGGACCAGAGCTGCCACGGAAGGTGGCCTGGGCCAGGGGTCCTCAGAGGCCAGGGGGAGCCCCCATGTGCTCAGGAGAGCCAGCCTCTCAGTGCCAAGCACGCCGCCCACAGCTGCTAGGTCTGCACTGCGGCCCCCGAGAGCTCGGGGTGATGGGGATGTTCAGGTTACATATGGTCCTCAAGTCTCTCTCTGGCCAAGACTCTGGAGGGCCACGCCGTAATTTGTTACCTCCAGGCCTCTGCAGCAGCTGCATGTCACCGAGGCCCTGGCTGCTGCAGCACAGGCCATGGGGTCCTCCTGGGCCAGCCCACAGTGGGGCAGACGGCACAGAGGCAGCAAGGGGTCCCGCCCTGGGGGCCGGCTCGCACGTGGCCTCACACACACACAGACACACACAGGTCCCAGGTGCTGAGGGGGGCAGACGCTGGATCCTGCTGCCCCGGGGAGTGAGGTGGGGGCCCCAGGGAGGGGCCGGGGCCTCACGTCTGGGCCAGGGAGAGCTCCTCCAGGCCCCCCTTCCCGAGCCGGTACCTGGCTAGATCCTTCCTGGTCACCAGTCCAACCACCTGTGGGAGCAAAGCCAGGTCAGTGGGGCTGGCGGCAGCTCCTCCCACCATGGAAAGTCCTGTCCCATGTCCTGGGGGCAGCACAGTCTGGAAGAGCCCTGGAGCTGGGCACGTGGCCACTCTGGGTCCTGCACCTGGAGGTCCCAGAGGGGCTGAGGGCAAGGCCCTACCAGTGACCAGGGCAGGCAGGTCAGGAGGTAAAGGGCTCTCGTGGGCAGGAAACAAAGTGGGGAGGGCACACCCTCCCCAGCCACTCACCTGGTTGCAGTTGTCCACCACCACCAGATGCCTGAGGCCCAGGGCCCGGAACAGCTTGAACACCCGTGGCAGGGACGCATCCTGCAGAGGGGACGGGCCTCAGCGGAGCCGCCGGCTGGGCTGGCTGCCCCCCAGCCCCGAAGGACAGAGCAGAGGCAGGATGACCAAGCCGGGTCCACTGGTGAGCCCCTCCCTGCACGCCCCCCATCGTGATGTGTCCAAGCTGCCTTCCGGCCGTGGGCAGGCACCTGGGGCACCGTGTACGGGGAGGGGTTCATGAACTCGGACAGGTCCATGGTGCACTCCCGCTCGTCCTGCGACACGTGGATGGACTGGATGGGCGGGAAGCGTGGGTAGGCGTCCCGGAAGTCCTTCAGCCTCAGCCGCCGCCGCACCAGGCCCATGCTGGAGCGCTCCACAAACACCTGCGGGTGGCCGTGCATCAGCCCCGCACCGCCCATGTCCCCTGCCACCCCAAGGTGCCTGGCAGCTACCTTGTGCTTCAGGAGGACGATCAGCTGGGAGCGCAGGATCAAGCCCTGGAGCCGGGCCGGCTGTGGGAAGACGGACCCTTGGCTGCGGGTGGAGCCCCGGGTCTGACCCGAGACCCCTGCTGCCTGGCATCTGCTGCGGGGACACCCTGCCGGGCTCCCTCTCGACACATGGTCCCCATCTCTGGGCACCAGCCCTGCCGCAGGCGGTCCACCGTCACAAGCTCATCACTCCCCAGGGACTGGGGGGGACAGCGGGATGGGACCAGGGTGAGGCCCAAGGCGGCCGGAGGCCTGGGTGAGACACGGGCACATCCGACCTGGACGCTCCCAAGTCACCACCACGAATCCCTGGGTGACGGTGCGTGTGAGGCAGGGGCCTGCACACGAGCACATGGCACCCCTGACCAGCGGTCGGCTCCCTCCCAGGCCACACGACTCGGTTTCTTTGCAGCTAGTGGAGGTGAGCTGCATGTTCCCACGTCCCCGTAGACTTCCCCACATACCCCTCCCGATACATGTGGCCAGCACCTCAGCCTCCCAGAGCTGACCCCAAGCCACGCGCATGTGCAGGTCGGCCCTCCGTGTCCGGGGGCCTGGGTACCTGCATGTCACCAGCTAATTCCACCACCGGGAACCCATTGTGATTGGACGTGGTGTCACTGAGTATGTCCACGATGACGCCCACTTTCTCCCTCCTCCGCAGGCAGGTAACCGGCGTGCTCATCACCTCCCTGAGGAAGAGCATCTGCTGCGCCTTTGCTGTGACTGACCGTGTGGTCCAGTGGAGCTTCCCAAACACTCTCTTTACACCGAAGTTGAAGCTCAACAGGCATGAAGGTGCCAGATGCAGGAAACCCGGGGACCAGGCGCCGGGTGGCCAGCGTGTGGACTTTCAGACACAAGCACACCCTCCCAAACCTCCCGGGGTGTCCGCTGTCCCACCACCCCTGCTCTCCGCCACCTATACCTGGCAGTGAGCGAGTGAGAGGTGACGGGGGCCTCCCAGTGCAGGAAGGGCACACTCTGCAGCTGGATGTGCATGTCGTACAGGCCCTGTGTAGGGGCAGGCGGGTGACACTGAGACACAGAGGCCGCTGGGGCCGCATCTCCGTAGGACCCCCCTCCCTCTGCCTCTGTGGCCGTCTCCCAGCCCTAGGCTCAGGCTTCCGGCCAGGGGCACGGTGGGGGCTGCACGGAGCAAAGGGTAGGGCAGGCAGGCCTCTCCCCACAAGCCACACCTCGATGAAGATGTCCCCCACAATCTTGGCAGTCATCAGGACCAGCATGATGGGGAAGCCGTAGGTCACGTTGCTGGTTGCCTCCATCATGATGACCGTCAGGCTGAGGGTCATCCTCACGATCCCACCTGCCCAGGGAGGTTGGGCATAGGCTCCAGCCTCTGCGGGCCACTCTGCGTGCCCCCTCACCCCCACTGCCCGAGTCCTCTGCGCGCGCCTGTGCCCCCACCCGTTCACCCAGGGCGTCTAACCCTGAAGGCTGCGCCAAGTGGGCACAGTGACCCTGCACGCCACAATGGAGTGAACTCACGGCCTCCACTTCCCCGAGGGGAATGCGTCCCCTCCTGACCTTGGGACGCCACCCAAGTAGTAATCAGGACTCACCTAGCTGGGCAGCTGCTCCCATCAGGGCGTATTTGCCAGGGTCTGCCCAGATCTGTGGGGACGACAGAGGTGGTGTCAGAGGGCCAGCAGCCCACTGAGATGTGGGGTACCACCAGGGGCCCCTGGGCCCAAAAATTCCAGCCCTGGAAGCCAATCCTACAATTCACACACACAGGCAGGCAGCATGGCCTGTGGCAGCACCTAGAATGACAGAAGTCTGGAAACAGCCTAGGGGTGCCCTGCCCAGAAAGGCTCCAAAGGCTCCAGTGTTCATCCACACACTGGACAGCTCGGCAGCTACGGCAGGAGGAAGCGTTCCACGTATGGAGGAGGAAGAGGGACAGGTGGGTGCAGAGAGAGAAGCTGGCACACACAGCACGGTGCTAGGCCAGAGAAGCCACACACGGGCCACGCAGTGTGGACGCCACTCAGGAAAGGCC